GTCTTCGTACGCTTTTAACACACCATCGTAGCGATGGCGATGTTTCAGGTGACTAATCAGGTTGGAAGTATTATAGCTCGTTGCCTTTCTCCTCCTCGTGGAACTTCTGCATTTGTTAATACAAATAGCAAGCGAACTATCTAACTCTGAAACTTTGAAATAGTCCCATACTACCGGCGACATGTTTGTTTACTGTCCTGGCTTCACGGCCGCACACCATTTACGTCACAGCCAGGCATGAGTTAGGGAGCGCTGGATTTGTGAAGAACTCCCCTCTTCCTAAACCACTAATACCACAGTACTGGCAAAACGGGAGGAGCCGAGTGAAAAACAAGCGCCCCTCATCCCAATCCACCCACACCGCAGTATCTTTTCTTTTTTTTTTACCCAAAAAATATATTGTATATTATCGGGGCTATTAATACTTTTATCGGGTTTATCGGGATGACGTCATAATTCCTAATATCGGACCGATAATTATCGTGCACCACTAGATTAAATGATGCTGTTTTTGAAATCGCTCTGAATTGAATTGAACAGTTTGTAACAGAAGAGGTGTGTACCCAGGTCGTCGCACGCATCTCTGCTTGTCTAGCTGACATCTCTCAGTGGATGTCTGCTCACCACCTCAAGCTCAACCTTGACAAGACTGAGCTGCTCTTCCTTCCGGGAAAAGATTGTCCCACTCTTGACCTGACAATCAACATCAGCACCTCTGTTGTTTCCCCGACTCAGACTGCAAGGAATCTGGGTGTGACCCTAGATAACAACCTGTCCTTCACTGCAAACATCGCTGCTACAACCCGCTGCTGCAGATACACGCTTTACAACATCAGGAAGATACGTCCCCAGCTGACTCAGAAAGCGACTCAGGTTCTGGTCCAGGCTCTCGTCATCTCACGCCTAGACTACTGCAACTCCCTCCTGGCTGGTCTACCTGCATGTGCCATCCGACCTCTGCAGCTCATCCAGAATGCAGCGGCTCGTCTGGTTTTCAACCTTCCTAAATTCTCCCACACCACTCCGCTCCTCCGCTCCCTTCACTGGCTTCCGGTAACTGCTAGAATCCACTTCAAGACACTGGTACTTGCTTACCGTGCTGCGAATGGATCTGGCCCTTCCTACATCCAGGACATGGTTAAACCGTACACCCCAGCGCGTGCACTACGCTCTGCATCAGCCAAACGACTCGTTGCGCCCTCGCTGCGAGGGGGACCCAAGTTCCCATCGGCGAAAACACGTGGGTTTGCTATCCTGGCTCCAAGATGGTGGAATGAGCTCCCCATTGACATCAGGACGGCAGATAGCTTGCACATCTTCCGGCGCAAACTGAAAACTCATCTCTTTCGACTCCACTTCGAGCGTTTTAGAACGATTAACGAAGCACTTTTATACCAATAAAGGACTGGATTACCTAAAGCCAGTTGAGTAGCACTTGAAATGTTTGGCTCTATGAAACCTGATATACTTATATGATTCTGTTTTCTTCAAGGTTGTGTCTTCCTGGTCGAATGTACTTATTGTAAGTCGCTTTGGACAAAAGCGTCAGCTAAATGCAATGTAATGTAATGTAATGTAGTGTTACCATTTTCCATGGTATAATGTAAAATAGAGTTTCTAGTATTCTTGAAGATGTATTCATTTTAAAAGATGTATTCATGAATCAACAGCCGGGCGATCTTTATGTATTAAGTCATAAATCTGACAAATATAATACAACCCCAGAGGCAGGATAAAATCATATTGAACTGGCCGTTAACATTTGCAAACAATTGGTGAGAGAAAATATGTAAGACTATCTGGACGGACTCAGCTCACATAACCAGCATATAAAGAGAAGAATGTGTAGAGTTGTTAAAAATACAACAATTTCAAAGACTTGTTATTGGATACAGTAACTGTGATAAAAAAAGATAACGATAGTCTAAAGGAAAAAAAGAGAAATAATTATTTAAATAGTTAACTGTTTATGATAACATATTCTAATCCACCCTAATAACAAACATGTTCTCCTCCAGATGCTCCAAAGCCTCCCTCTGTGTCAGTGAGTCCCTCTGCTGAGATAGAGGAGGGCAGTTCAGTGACTCTGACCTGTAGCAGTGATGCTAACCCAGCAGCTAGCTACACCTGGTACAAGGAGGATGGAAGTCCAGCCTGTCCTCGTCCTAATGAGAAACCCCAGCTTGTCTTCAGCTTCATCCAGTCCTCTGACTCTGGAGAGTATTATTGTACAGCTGAGAACAAGCTTGGGAGGAATATGTCTGGAAATGTCTTTATTACTGTGAAATGTGAGTAAAACCGGTATGTAAGGGATAATGTGCAGCGACTTGGTCATTATGGGGAAAAGAACACCCGACAGGCTGATCAGGGAACCCGACACGCATCATGATCAGCCTGAAGGGTGTTCTTTTCGCCATAATGACCAAGTCGCTGCACATTATCCCGCTTATTACACGGCCAGATGGTAAACAAACTATCGACTCGACTCCCAATATTAATTGAAATTATTTTATTAACTTAAATATTATCGTATTTCTTCAACTAAGAAAAAAAACCCTCCACCAACGGCTGGAACTGCGACAACAACAACTTTGCGGCACCACTGTCCAAGTGTGTTTACAGTTTAAGTCCTTGAACAGTGCAGAGCCCATACCGTGTTCCTGTTAGTGTTTACTTCCTGTCTGACTTCTTCTGGTGATTTATCTGACGTCCAGCGCTCCGTCTTTTAACCTCTTTTCCTTTCTCTTTCTTGATCCTCCTTAGCAACGGTCATTATAGTCCTTGACAACGGTCTGTACTACTGGATTAACAACGTGTCACATGTTCTGAATTGACCAATCAGAATCGGTTATTCAACTAAACCGTGTAATAAGTAAGGGATAATGTGCAGCAACGCGGTCATTATGGGGAAAAGAACACCGACAGGCTGATCAGGAGCCCGACGCGAAGCGGAGGGATCTAGATCGGCATGAAGGTGCGCATTATCCCGCTTATTACATGGCCACATTCTCAACAAAGTAACGTTATGACTCCCAATATTAATTGAAATGCTTTTATGGATTTAGAAAATTATTTTATTGATTTAAAAAATAGTTGTATTGATTTAAATTGACATGCATCCGCTAAGAAAAATAGTCCGTTGTTACCGTTTGAACTAACGTAGCAACGGCAGGAACTGCTTCGATAGCGGTTTTGAGGAGCAGATTACAGATTTGAAAACATCGTTGCTTGCTTTAAAAGTAGCACAATTCATGATGTCAAACCTTGGAGAGTATCTAGATATCCCTGCCCTAATTCCAAAGGAACTGCACACTGAATATGTGTCGCCGTTTGATGTCTATGTCTGGACCGCTGCATAAAAAGGAGGGTTTCTGCCCCGTTACTTCTCCGCTGTTTTCTTGTCCCTCTTGTCTTGTTATTTTCTTCACTGGGGACTCATCAGCCACTAACCATTACTCCAAATTACTGTGCTCTCCAAATATATTCAAATTAATGTTAAAATCCTCCATGTTGCTATCACACGACAGCAGAAAACTAAAGACAATCAGTTTGCTTGCTTTTCAAACTGTTACATTTGAAAAACAGTTAGAGCGTCTCTTGTCTTCAGTTTGAAAAGCCAACGGCAGGATCTGCTTAGATAGCGTTTTTGAGGAGCTTTTTGATTACAGATTTGAAAACATCGCTCCTTGCTTTAAAAGTAGCACAATTCATTATGTCAAACCTTGGGAAGTATCTAGATATCCCTGCCCTAATGCCAAAGGAACTGCACACTGAATATGTGTTGCCGTTTGATGTCTATGTCTGGACCGCTGCGTAAAAAGGAGGGTTTCTGCCCCGATTATTCTGCGTTGTTTTTCATGTCCCAGTTCGAAAAGCAAACTGCATGCAGTTTGCTTTTCGGCCCAACGGTATACAGTTAAATCGACCGGACTTCTTTCTGAAGATGTGAGCGTCCTTAACAACGGTCAGAATCGAGTATTCAACTAAGCCATGTAATACATTGAGATAACAAGCCAAAATCTGTCTAGTTTCTGCATGGGAAGATTTTACCAATCACTAATTACATCAGTTGAACTTGATTCTGACGTCCAATCTTCACAGTCAATTGTAAACAAAGGAGGCCTAACCAGGCCACAATGAGCTGGTGGAAAGGCTGCCGCTCCACATCTGGCACTGCATGCAGGTGCTGTTATATGTTGAATGCTTTCCTTCCCCTCAGGATGCAAAGCCATTACCCCTCTCTGGTCAAGGATTAGGGATTGTCTTATAAGACAAAAATGCTTTTACTTTATTTGGGAATGACTTATTCTGTGCCTGCTGTAGAAGCATATGCTCTGCTGATGTACTTTGCGGCTTTACTAGGAAGGCTGGAGCTGTGTTGCCTTTTATGTGTAGAATGTGCTGACAGGGAGCTGTGTACATGGGCTGGCAATCGAATGTCAACATTTATTGTATTTGTTTTATGTTTTTAATGTCATATACCATTAAACCTTTGAAATCTTGATATCTTGCTCGATGACGAACAGGGTTTCTAAAGAAGTTGAATAACATTCTATAGTAACCTCAATGGCCTCAGATGTTCCTTCTGCTAGTCCATGCCCAAATACAGACCTGGAAACAAATATTAAACAAGTTGTTTCTCTTTTGACTTCCAGATGCTCCAAAGCTCCCCTCTGTGTCAGTGAGTGCCTCTGCTGAGATAGAGGAGGGCAGTTCAGTGACTCTGACTTGTAGCAGTGATGCTAACCCAGCAGCTAACTACACCTGGTACAAGGAGGATCAAAATGCACACCTTTCTTTTGTCAATGAAGGACCACTTCTTGTCCTCAGCTCCATCAATTCCTCTGACTCCGGACAGTATTACTGTACAGCTGAGAACGAGCTGGGGAGGACATCTACAAACATCTCCATTGATGTGAAATGTGAGTGGAACATTGTTTTAAAGCTTAAATCTGTGCAGACTTTGCTGGAGAAGATTTCACCGATCTTTACTACTTTCTTCAGCTCTATCGCTTCACATTCACAGTCTGCTGTAATTCTCTGAGTAGCTTCAGGTGATTTTAAGATACTAAGCAATTTTTGTATTTTTTAAAGGACATTTATTGAAAATAATTTCCCAAAAATGTATTGATTAATCCAAAATGCAACATCTGAGAAAGCCATGTAGATATTTAAAATGTGAATGACCCGGGTCTCTCTGAATCTCCAGACTCTCCAAAGCTTCCCTCTGTGTCAGTGAGTCCCTCTGCTGAGATAGAGGAGGGCCGTTCAGTGACTCTGACCTGTAGCAGTGATGCTAACCCAGCAGCTAACTACACCTGGTACAAGGAGGATGAAGACTCTCCAAAAGCTTCAGGACAGATCTTCAACATCACTGACTTCAGAGCTGAACACAGTGGGAGTTATTCCTGTGGAGCCCAGAACAAGTTAGGACGTAGTAACTCCACCTGAACTCTGATTGTTGTGGCATGTAAGTTCTCTACATTCACCAGACCTGATTCACTTTGTAATATGAAGCAACCCATAACTGAAAATTGGTCACAGAGAAAAATAAAACTATTGTTGTTCAGGGTGTTAGACGTGGATGAAACTGACTGAAGGGATATATACATCTACTACTGAGGTGTATCACATGTGTTTCATGTTAATAGGGAATTCAACAATGATAGTGAATATCATCAGGACTATCAACGACTCTGGGGGTCTTGATTCTGATTCCTGTGTTTCTCCTGACTCTGTGGACGAGGTACAACAATATAAATTCATCAGTTCACTCACCATTTCTTTATTCATATGTTCACTGACATGAATTTGGCACTTGTTGATGTTGTCAATCCAGGAAGAAGAAAGCTCTGCGCTCCACCACTGAAGCACATGAACCTGAAGAGATAGAGGTGAGAGAGAGCGGACCTGTTGACAACACTTCCAATACGTCTCGGTTATAAATTGTCCCATAAATGCTCTGGAAAAGAGGAGTTATGTGCATTTGGTCATAAAACAATGACATCAACTAATCTTCAAAATAAAATACATTTTTGATTATATCTCAATATTTATATAGTTTCATGAACAAGGGTCTAATTGTGTCTTCTCTCTCTTCATCAGTTGGACTCTGATCCTGAGTATGAGAACGACTCACACACTGCAGCACAGACAGAAGACACAGAGGAGCAGGAAGACATGGTGTGAAGTCCAGTCAGGTTAGAGCCTCCTGCATCAGATCAAACAGGCCCACTCCACATGTAGTCACAGTTCCAGCTGTAACTTCACACAAAGTCTCTGTGATTTTCTTCAGATGCTCACCTGATGGAAACAAAGAAGAAGGACGTTGAAATGTCCCTGTGGAGAGCGAGGCTGTGCAGGATGTGTGCAAAGTGGATATATTCACGTTCAAATCCCAACATTTGTTTATGTCATTTAATAGCAGCATCAGCAGGTCGGAGTCAGCAGCTTGTAGGTTTAGAAGAATGTGAAGTGAATCATGTCGAGGTGTCAAACATGATGTATTAAGATCAGCTGATGGTCATGTGCTCCAACGTGCTGATTTAATTATACATGATTATACAGTATGTTATGTACATTTGTTGATATTACAAAAGTCTAGGACAAATCTTACAAAAATTGTTTCTTTTAAATTCAACATAATAAATCGTTTTTAAATATCCTGATCAGTGTCTTGGTTTATAGCTGTCCTGGCTGAGAGAGACCTGAAAGCATCACATTTCACTCCATGTACAATTTAGATTTGTTCAAACTGAAATGAAAAATAAGCTCACTATTAGAAAACTTTGCTAGATGTTACATTTTCCAAGTGTTAGTGTGTCTTTACTGATTTATTTTCCTTTCGGCTATAATCTTTTATTATTAGCGATACAACAAAAATCGAATACATTTTGCTTTTCCCCCAAATTCTCACTCATTAAATGTCGACGGTCCTGCCCCTCCTTTTTCATCTACTAAATATGGGCAGTAACTTCCCTTCATGTGTTGTCGAGCTTGCCCCGAGGCAATAAGAATAAAACACGGAGGACGGAGATCTCTTTTTCTCCCCCTCTTCTCCCCGCTGCAGCCTAGCAGCTGATCTCAGAGCACGCTCCCCTCTCCTGCAGGGGGGCGTGGTCAGCTGCAGCTCACAGAATCAGCCCCCTGCAAAAACAGCGCTGGAAAGAGCAAATAGAGCGAAATGAGGCATGGTTAAAATGCAGGATCTGTTTGGTATTTAAAAAAAACAAACGATATTTATATACTTTATATAGATATGGCCCTACAATATATTGTTCAAATATAGCATGATATGTCGCCTTTAAGTATTTCACAGCTTAATGTACTGAATTGTAAATATTTCTTGTGTAACATGATTTTTGCGGCAAAAAGAATGACAAAATGAAGAGATGTTGCAACAAGGGATCTGATCCCTAACTGCTGGCTTGTTGGAAAATGTAGATATTACTAAAGAGTTATAATTTACTGATAACAAACCATTTCCATTGTTTTGTACATTTATTAATTTTATTCAAATAATATTTATTTACAATGTTCCTCTTCTTGTCTACACTGAAATATCAAACAACTGCTTGTTTGTGTTATTTTTTATCCATTCCAAATATAAATGTTGTTTTTGAAAAGCACGTTGGGATATTGGAGGAACATGCGTTTGCTGATGTAGTTGTAGTTTCATTCTGCTGCCACTAGGTTTCAGTAAAGAGCCGTATTTCACTGATGGAAAACCATTACCAAGAGCCTGTAAAGTAAATGTCTCTTTGGTGTGTGTACGGCCTTCTCTCGTTCTGTTCTGTTTTGGTTTGAGTTCATCAACAAAGGTTGACGTTGCCATAAGTCTTGTCCACACTAATGCTAATGATAGCATTAGGGTCACTAATCTGTCATTTCTCAATAGAACATCTTTGATAATGTCTTCTGGCCAATCAGAATCACGATAACGGCGTGGTGTTGTTGCAGGAAGTCCCGACGGAGAATACTTTTGCGGTAGTACATCTCTATACATCGATACAACATTAAGTGTTGTAACACGTAATGAAATAAGACCCCACGGTTTGATGATTGATAGGTGTGTGGGCTGTCTTTCATTTTGACACACAGAACAATGGGGGCTATCCACAATGTAAAGTCATTCACAGCCTCTTCTCTCTGTGAGGAGCAGCAGGTTCAGCTTTCAGAACAAAGTAACACAAAACTAAAATGGCATTCATTTTTTTAAATATGTCGGGTAGTAATACATTTATTTATTTTTCTTCTCAGGAGAGTACCAGAATGTGTATTTTATGTTAGTATTTCAAAAAATCTCCTGGGGGAGAATCTCCCCAGACTAAGGTGACCAGACTTTCAAAATTAAAACCGTGGACATTTTGAGTTTTGTGGTCAATATATCATTAACATATCCAATTTTCTTCACTGTTAAAGAAAAAAGCGGGACAATTCTGGTTTAATGTAATTCGAACATTTGAACTGTTGGATACAAACAGAAGGATGATAGCTCATATATGAGACTTCAAAGGTCTTTTATTTTGAAACTGAAATAAGTCTTTGATACTGGACAGTTTTTGTTTTATTCTTATCTAAAAACAGAGGGATGATAGCTCATATATGAGACTTCAAAGATCTTTTATTTTGAAACTGTACATCAGATTGTCCAGATTCTCTCTGAGTGACTAGATGGGGTCTCCTGCTATCACCCTGAAGTGAAATAAGTATTTGATTGACTTCGAGTGACTCTTTGATTATGGACGGTTTCCATTCAATAATAATCCAAATATAGATGGACAATAGATCTAATTTAAGATTTTAAACAGCATACATTTTAAATTGTGCTTCAGAAAGTAATGTTATTTTAGGAGTCATTTCATTTCATTTCAAACCTTTATTTAACCAGATTGGTCCCATTGAGATCATAGATCTCTTTTTCAAGGGAGACCTGCAGCATATAGGTTCCACATGAAACAATAAAACAATAAAGGACATCATACATTATATTTACAGGATACATTTACATAGTTATAGACATTTACAAGTGGCCATAGTATCAACGAGCATTTCATTTAGCCTAGCTTTGAAAACATGCAGAGGAATGAGATTGCTCAGTTTCAATTCTTGCTGAAGATTGTTCCAAGCAAGTGGAGCTGCGCACATAAAAGCTGTCTTACCTAAGACAGTCCTTGCTCTTGGCACATCTAACAATACTACATCATGCGATCTCAGACAATAGCTGCTTGCAACTCTCTGTTATCAGAGAGCAGATATAATACGGGAGTTTACCCAACAAAGCTTTATAAATAAACGTGCACCAATGACTGAGCCTCTTTACAGTAAGTGATGGCAGACCTGCCTTGGCATACAGGGTACAGTGATGAGTAAGTGCTTTACAATTTGTGACAAATCTCAGTGCGCTGTGATAGGCGGCATCTAACTTGTTCAGGCAATAGGCAGGTGCATTCATATAGATCAGATCACCATAGTCCAGCACAGGTCAAAAGGTCACAGAGCCTTTTCCTGGCTTCAAAAGAGAAACAGGACTTGTTTCTGAAAAAGAAACCTAGTCTAACCCTCAGCTTTTTAAGCAGGTTATTGACATGAAGTTTAAAAGTAAGACAATCATCAAGCCAGATACCTAGGTATTTATAACTGGTAACCACTTCAAGTACTTGTCCTTGCATAGTAACAATATCCAAAACAGGCTCTGGTGTCTTTTTAGCTTTTGAAAATAGTTGTGAGATGGTGTCAACATCAATTGAAATGAGTCACCCAGTGGAAATGTCAGATATGTCTTCATAACTGTAATCAAATCAAAATCAAATCAAGTTTTATTTGTAGAGCACATTTAAAAACGATTTTGGTCGAGCCAAAGTGCTGTACATGTAATTTAAACACATAAAAACACATTACATCACAATAAATCACAACAGATAAAAACAACACATGGAACAGTCAGGAGTCGTAACCCCACTCTAACTAGAAGGCCAGAGAGAAGTAGTGTGTCTTCAGTGTGGATTTAAAAGCCCCTAGGGTCTGGGCCGACCTCACATGGAGGGGCAGAGTGTTCCAGAGCCTGGAGCCAGCTGCTGCGAAGGCTCGGTGCCCTCGGGTTTTGAGCCTGGTCTTAAGCACTACCAGCAGCAGCTGGTCAGCAGATCTTAAAGCTCTGGCTGGGGTGTAGCGCTGGAGGAGTTCAGCTATATAGGCCGGAGCCAACCCATTTAGTGCTTTAAATACAAATAAAAGGATTTTAAAATCAATTCTGAACCGGACTGGAAGCCAGTGTAGTGAGGCCAGAATTGGGGTGATGTGGTCACGCTTTTTGTGGCCAGTCAGGAGACTTGCAGCTGGGTTTTGGACTAGCTGCAGGCGTTTAATTGATGCCTGGTCCATACCCACATACAGAGCGTTACAATAGTCCAGTCTTGAGGTCACAAAGGCGTTAATAACCCTTTCCAGGTCTTTAAAAGATAAATACGACTTGGTTTTGGCCAATAGTCTTATTTTAAAAAAGCAGGATTTTACTACAGTGCTAACCTGCTTGTCGAATTTAAAAGTGCTATTAAAGGTCACTCCAAGGTTCAAGACAGAGGGGAGGATGTTTTTACTTAGGGAGCCCAGAATATCAACCGGAGAGGCTAGAGGTTGGGGTCCAAAAAAGATTACCTCGGTCTTGCTCTCATTGAGGTTGAGGAAGTTTTTGCTCAGCCAGGATTTTAACTCTGTTAAGCAGTCCATCAACTGCTGTAGTGAGTTGACATTTGCTTTGAGAGGCAGATAGATCTGTACATCGTCCGCGTAACAGTGGAAGGGGATATTGTGCTTCGTGAGGATTGAACCTAGGGGCAGTATGTACAGTAAAAAGAGGATGGGGCCCAGAATTGAGCCTTGGGGGACCCCACAGGTAAGAGGGGCTTTGGCAGAGGAGAAGGCACCTAGCTGCACTAAAAAGCTACGGTCTGTCAGGTAAGATCTGAACCATGCAAGGGTAGAGCCTGTGATGCCTGCGGACTGTTCAAGCCGTGACAACAGGATGCTATGGTCCACAGTGTCAAAGGCAGCTGTCAGGTCTAACAGCACCAAGACAGCTGGGCTGCCTGAGTCTGCGGCTAGGAGCAGATCATTAAAAACTCTTAAAAAGGGCTGTTTCGGTACTATGCATGGGTTTAAAGCCAGACTGAAACTTTTCATGGATGCCATGCATGGTTAAGAAAGACTGCAGCTGGGCGTAGACTACTCACTCCAGGGCTTTTGATAAAAAAGGTAGCTGGGAAATGGGCCTAAAATTTGCGAGAATGGAGGGGTCAAGATTTTTCTTTTTAAGTAGTGGCTTGACCACGTTATGTTTGAAGGCAGCTGGGACACATCCTGAGCTAAGAGAGGTGTTTATAAGTAATAAAATACTGGCTCCAACTGTATCTTTACATTTTACATTCACTCAGTTATAATGTGGTAGTTATACGTAGTTTGTTTTACATTATCACATTATATAGTACATGTTTCTTAATTTAAGCTCCAGTATATGAATATGTTTGATATGTTCTTTAGGTATATTTGTTATTGACCGAGTAAACGCTTTTATTTTGAAGGCAGTTTTTACAGGGCTCTACCGTAATGCATAGGATATTCGCGCACCGCAATACAACGTGCGGGCTGTCTTTTCCGAAGTGGGGGCTGGCTTGACCGCAGTCTGTTTACCCAGTGTTTCCTGACATGAAACGTTTTATTTCACCTTGCTATGTGTTTTTAACGTATATTGAAAAACGGGGACATTTCCGGGGACAGTTTCAACCGGGGACAGGCCAATACAAACGGGGACGTCTGGTCACCCTACCCCAGACCCCCCTGCAGGGGTTGGGTTTTCAGCATGTCAACTCTTTCACCTGTGGGGAAATTGTAGAATTGGCTCCAGGTCGCCCTTTTGATTTACTACAAATGTGCCTTTTTATTTCATACAGTTCAATTTCAATTGAGACAGGGAAATAATCTAAACCTCACGCGTGGCGTTTCACTGTCAAGGGGGGCGATATAGCGTGTATGTAATTACATTGCAAATACTGACTTGAGCCCCACCACTGTATGGGTTAAGCCTACCATAGATTACCCAACTAAAATACTCTGGTGCCGCCACTGTGTGTGAGTGAGAGAAGTGTGTGAGTGAGAGAAGTGTGTGAGTGAGAGAAGTGTGTGAGTGAAAGAAGTGTGTGAGTTAGTGAAGTGTGTGAGTGAGAGAAGTGTGTGAGTGAAGTGTGTGAGTGAGTGAAGTGTGTAAGTGAGAGAAGTGTGTGAGTGAGTGAAGTGTGTGAGTGAGAGAAGTGTGTGAGTGAGAGAAGTGTGTGAGTGAGAGAAGTGTGAGAGTGAAAGAAGTGTGTGAGTTAGTGAAGTGTGTGAGTGAGAGAAGTGTGTGAGTGAAGTGTGTGAGTGAGTGAAGTGTGTGAGTGAGAGAAGTGTGTGAGTGAGTGAAGTGTGTGAGTAAAGAGTGTGAGGAAGTGTGTAAGGTGTAGTGAAGTGAGTGTGAGTTGAGTGAAGTGTGTGCAGTTAGTGATAGTGTTTGAGTAAGTTTTGTGCGTGCGAGAAGGTGTGAGTGATCTAAGTGTGTGAGTGAAGTGTGTGAGTGAGAGAAGTGTGTGAGTTAGTGAAGTGTGTGAGTGAGTGAGTGAGTGAAGTGTGTGAGTGAAGTGTGTGAGTTAGTGAAGTGTGTGAGTGAGTGAGTGAAGTGTGTGAGTGAAGTGTGTGAGTGAAGTGTGTGAGTGAGTGAAGTGTGTGAGTGAGAGTGTGTGAGTTAGTGAAGTGTTGGAGTGAGTGACGTGAGTGAGTGAGTGGTGAGTGAAGTGGTGAGTGAAGTGTGTGAGTGAGTGAACTGTGTGGGTGAGAGAAGTGTGTGAGAGAAGTGTGTGTGTGAGTGAGTGAAGTGTGTGAGTGAAGTGTGTGAGTGAGTGAAGTGTGTGAGAGAGTGAAGTGTGTGAGAGTAGTGTGTGACCACAGCACATCCACAGTCCTGCTCTTCACAGACAGAAATACTGATAGCTAACCTTCAGCTCGTGCTGCTTGTTGTACTTTGGTTTGAGTTTGGATTGAATTAATATTATAAAATGTAAAACCCAAGCTATACGTCATGAACAAATGTTGAGATGTGACTTTCTGTACACATTATGAAACTGTCCAGGCAGTCTCATAATAATATCAAGTGACGTTAATTTGCATTAGTAGTGTGTGTAATTTGCATTGTTGATTTTTATTCACAGAACATGGATTTTGAAGTTTGACTGCTTTTATAATAAAGGAAGACATTAGGATGTGTCTTCTCTTGTCAGTGAGGAGAGGTGCTCTGTTTACCACAAACTGGTCTCTCTCTGCAGAACAACAATAATATGAAGAGGAAGGAAGTGGTGTTTTAAACCCCCTGCTTTCTGTCTCCTTTCTACCTTCAAGCCCACAGAGGGACGTTAAGGTTCGTGATAACTCCCTTTATTTTAATGTAGAAGGTTTTTCTTGTGTACATCAATCTTCTTCTTTATTTTATTGTCACTGAAGCCGCACGGAGACGAGAGGAGCAGCTATGAGTTTAATAGCGAGTGGATTTGTTGTCGTCCTTCTCTCTATGCCAGGTAATGTACATCCACATCTTTTTGTATCCACATTATATTTAGCTTTTCTAAATACTTTGAAACTTTATTAAACACTCCATACAAGCATAGAGAAATAATACGCAGGCATATATTAATAAAATAACAAGATGCAATTAAATTAATTTGGAGAAAATACAAAGAGACAACAGAAAGAAACGGAAATTAACCCAACAATCTACTTAATATTGAATTAAATAAACAAAACAATTTTAACTCAACAGGGTCAATGAAATAACTAATCATAAACAGAAATTCATCGAACAGTCCACTATAACAAAGTTTAAAATGTGGTCATGTAGTGTAATGCACAGTGACACAAAGAGGCAATACAGACGATGCAGGCCAAGAGCAACACCCGCCAGGCAGCAGTGTAGCGGTGAAGCACAGACGTTGAGGCAAAACAGCCGTCTTTCTGTATTAGGCTTCCAGCGCAGGTGATGTTACGATAATAATACTACATTCATATTATTCAGGAAGGATGAGACAAGCAAAAAGCGTACCTACCAATCAGGCTACGTTAAGACACTCAGCAGGAGAGCTTCGTTCAACAGCAGCAGCAGACATGGGCTGCAGGATCCCTGCAAGGGTCTACAACCAGCAATACACATTTAGTATGTATGCTACTTGTCAAGTGTTAACTGTGATGGTTATTCTCGCGTCCAGGAAAGAGAAGCTTAAAAAGGAGACTAAATGGAGTCTCTGAGATGTTTTCAAATTGGTACTTTAATTAATAAAAAGCGTGGTACAGTCACAAACAGGATATTGTCCGACAGAAAAGCAGCTGTCTCTGGCCCTCGCTAGCAGAGAAAAGAGGCCGAACCGCTCAGGTGCTGCTCTTATATAGCTTCTGTAGGCTCCTCCCTGCGGGCCGGCCCTCCACATCTTAATGTCCGTTGTTACGTTTAAACAGAGGATTCAGGCATTGTACATTCAATACATACTTAAACACGCCTCTTCTCCTCATATTGTCTTTCATCACTTTTCCTTTAACACATTCTAAACGTTGTAGTTAATATTCTAAAAAATACAGAAAATACTTCACGGCTGGTTTGGTTTCTGGTCATTCCGGAAGTTGTCACATCTTACCCACGTCTGTAAACAATAACTTTATTCAAATAAACTATACCTTCATTTAATATTCAGCAATAATAATACGTCTATAGTTGCAGTGTTAAAATCAGTAGGTTTCTGTGTGCATCACTCCATGTCATTTCGCTACTAAATTAACCTCTATAAGAAATGGTAAACTAGCCACATGCTAACCGGAGATGAAGGATTTTCAGAATAAAAGCTTAACTGGTTGTGCACAATAATTTTCTGGTTTTTCAGTATAAAACAGCATTTAAACTGAAGGTACATTTAAGGTACATTATGCCATCAAAATATTGATTTTAATTTCTAACAGTCCCTCCTTACACACCTAAAAGGTGTGTATAATACTGAAATCAATGAGTTCTTCATCTGAACTCTGCATAGTACATCATTCATATCAAAAACATACAATCAAAATGGAATAGTGCGAATATCCTCAATTTTACAAAAATACAAAAATACTTAAATCATAAAAAAAAAAAAAAAAAATATTCTAAAAAAAAAAAAAAAAAAAACCTACCCAGATTTAAAGTTAAGTTCGGATGACATAGGATATTATTTATCAGGAACGAAGGTGCTAGTCGGAGGATTAGTGTTTCAATCTTTGATAACTTAATAATATTCATTCGAATAGTTAGAGAACATGTCACCAAAAGAAACTAAATTGAGACTAGACGCAGAGCCAGGCTCAACCGCAGATATCAAGGAAAGGGTAATAATCTGATCAGATGCTTTAACCTTTCCAATTAAAAGAACTATCTGGAGTGAAGATGAAGAAAGATTTATAAGAGTTACAAGTCTGATACTCCATCTGGAATATGCCAGCCTATTGGCACACAGCATAAATGTGGTCCGAGTAGCAGACCTGCCAGTGAGGGAAGACATAGCAGAAAAAACAAGACACCGTAGCTTGTAGGAACAAGACAAGGAGAAGGGAGGGGAAACTTCCAGAGAAGGCAGGGCAGACACCTCCAACAATTCAAGCTCAGGAAGAACCAGAGAATGCAGAGCAGACACCTCAAACAGTTAAATCTCAGATAGTGCCAGAGAATCAGATGCAGAACCAACAACCAGGAGGTTTCCAAGGAGGCACAGGCAGAAGACGTTTACGGTTTGAGGGATGTTACCATTGCAACCAAATGGGCCATTGGACCAGAGATTGCCCGCAACTACTAAGGCAACATGCACCAAACAATGGCCCTCCATGTAGTTACCCTGGGGGAGGTTTCCATGACTACGACAGAAGCAGGGGGTCTCAGGGATGTCAAAGACGAACAGCATTGCCAAACATGACCCAAATGCCACTGACACCCTGGTATCAACCACAACAATGAGGAAGCTCAGAGGGCCAGACCACCAGGTGATGCATCTTCAGCACAAGGGTATTTTGAAATCCAGCTACATTGAGCCATATATGTCACCACAGAAGGGAGAGGTTTAATGTTTAATGTAAAAACAGAATCGAGAGTAGCATTTGCATTTACACATAAAGCATCCACAGAATAGAACATTTAGCAGACTATTTTTGTAATTATGAGAAGGAAAGAGATTACGAGTGATGTTGTTCCCCCACACAGAAAACTATTGTGTCCACACAGCTAGTGAGGTCAAGACGATGGGGTTTCCACCCAAAAATATGAAGACGGAAACCTAGTACTCGCCCAAGACGGAGGATCCATACCAAATCCTCCTGTTTACACCGACTGCAGTTCAAGGGGCGGCGATACACCTGACGTGGAGCTGTTGAGACCTAAAAACAGAAACTCGCTTCTGCTGTGGTGAAGTCTGGCTACAAAGGGAGGTGTCCGATAGGGTCGCTTGTCTCAAACCAGTGAAGAAGTCAACAAGAACCCAGCAGAACTAGAGAGTGACTGTTAGCGAGAGAACAGTGACAGAGCGACAGAGACTGGCACAACATTTTCCAGCCAGTACATAGATAGACCCCGTCAGAAGACCGGGGCTGTGTTTAAAGGGGAACTTCATTTATTGTTAGTGGAAGTGTAGTTTTTTAGTCAAACAATTATGTGATTTATGGAGTCAGATTACATTTTTCTCAAACACAATTTTATAATCGGTCTGAAGTATCTGTTTTAAGGCAATGAGCTGCAGATTAAATAACATAACACTGATTGAGAGCTTGGATGAAGAAGTTGTAGGGTTTTAACAACAGTTTAAAGAATCAGTTTTTATTTATTTATTCTTGAGTAATTTTACTGATTTATAATGTAGTGCGTAAGGCAATATCTCATTTTGAGTGAGGGGCACCAGCCCTTCATGCATGTCACCCTCTGTGAGAATGGTTCGTATGTTTCCCTCTAGTTTAGATAAATATTATTTTATTATATCTTTGTTCAGCAGTATCAAACAATCCTCTAATCCTAGAATTATTGAGACGCATTAGCGACACCAGGGGTATTGTTTTACGCAGCAACAATGATGCATAATACCAGGACAAAAGCCATTATTGCAACATGTAAACCATTTTTTGTGCTAATGGCAGATTTGAGTGAATATGTTTTTATACCATCAGAAAGCCATACATCATACGATATTTTGTACGCCTTATGGGTACACGGAGAAGTTATATTTATTTAATGCAACGTTATGGGTTTTACATGTCCTGTTCAGAATAGGGTAATCATTGCAATATTAATTGAGCATGTTCTGCTCAAAGGAGGGAGTGTCATGATTATACAGATATGTTGATTTCAGTGACGTTGTAGTTAGTAAATAATAACATGTAGTTAATAATAGGTCTCATAACGACAAAAGGTATGCCAAAGCTTGGGCCTCCTCCAAGGAGGGAGTGGTCCAGTTTTGGATATTAGACGAATAGAAGTGATGAATATGTCAGAACTCTGAGTAATATAATCTAAGTTTTGTCTACACAGGCTAAGAAAGCTACAGAGATACAAGACGAGACACCAGAAGAGACTCCTGTTCGGCCAGGTGATTGGGTGAGGGTGAAAGTTCACAAAAGACAGTGAGCTGATCCCCGGTGGACGGAACAGTGAGAAGTTGTAACGAACTTCACACGCGCTCCGGTTTAAAGGTAAAGAAAAAGGAGCAAATTGACACCACCTCACACATTGTCACCCTTCACTGGCAACTTCCAGAACATTATTGGGAGTTAGGACTGATTTGGCAGAGCTGGAACAAAACAATAAATAGAAATAAGATAAAGATAGAAACAGCTCAAAAGACGAATTGTCTATAGATTTTTATAGATAGTACACTAAAGTGAAAACCTATTTTTGTTTTACATCTGAAAAAGAGTCCAATTTTTGTATACGTTATTATAGTACTCATTATTTAAATTCTGTAACTGACACCAAGGGAGAAAATAGAGATGATGTCAAGAACAAAGCTATTGTGGGGTCCCCTAGGGATAAGAGTATTACAGTAGAAACAGGCTACTAACCCACAAGTACAGCTTTGTACGTACAAACTCTATGAACAAGATTCCCCAGCAGATTGTGGCGACATTGCAGATATGTTCAGTCACAAAAGTTACTTATGTTCTAAATAACAGTGAGATTTAAAGTAATGGAGAAAATATGGGGACGTTCTTTTATAGTGTGTGAAATATGTGGTGCTTGAAACATGTAGGTATTTTTAATTTATAGAAGAAAATGGTTTCCTGAAAGAGTTATTTGGAGTAGCCATGTTACAGTGGGTGGAAACAATGTTTAGGGATATGGCACAACCATTAGTAGACATTAATTGGGTTTAGATGACATTTAACATCTAAGACGGATAGTAAGATTAGGAAAATAGAGTGGAAAGGATTGGATATATTTTACCTCAGTGTGTTAGAATTAGCTATAGGTAATGCCTCCCGAGATCTCTCTCTCTCTCTCTGCCTGTCAGACTGCTACGACCCCATCTTCAGACAAATGACCTCACCACAGGAGACTCCTCCTCCGGTTTAAAGACAGACAACCCGAGCTGAACCAACAACCACCTGAGGCATCCAGAACCATCTCCACCTGAGGCATCCAGAACCATCTCCACCTGAGGCATCCAGAACCAAACCAGCATGCTGACAAAGAGGCAAACTCTCATCGGTCCCTCAAACAGGACATGAAGTTCCAAACTGAGCCGCGAGATTTGGCACAAGAGCAGAGTGGGACATGAGAGCAGAATACACCACTCCATGCAACAGCCAAGAGACTGAAAAGGAGGAGATGAAATGCAAAGCAGTTGGGCCACTGAAAAGAATTACAGCGGGAAGATCCAAGTGCGGATGGACTGAGGAGAAGACAGGATGGAGGAGAAGACAGAACCAGAGGAGTTGGCATGGGCCAGCAGAACGTGAGGGGGTCGTGGCTTGACGACCAGAGGGGGAGAGAAGGAACACAGGAGTGAGTGAGTTTACACATAAACACACTTATTAGAAAATAATCCTAAAAACACACTGAGGGTAGAACATATTATTCAATATTTTCATAAAATAAACAAATTATTCTTATAGAGATTCTTATTCATGTGAGAATTTGGGGAAGATTTAATTTGTCACAATATAAATAGCAGGCAAATCTTTATTTGAATGGAAAATGTTAAAGGTAGAGCTGGAACCAAGCCAAAGAAAGTATTCCAATCTAGAGTATTGGTTTCTCCATTGTAGCATGGTTATTACCATAGGAGAACTGTTAAGGTGGAAACAACATTTGTTTCTCGTCCAAGATGTAGAGTTTTAAAAAGACACTAGGCAAAGAGCGATTGAAGATTTTAATTTTGAAAAAACTAGTACAATTGGGAGTAATACATGCGGGGCCTTGGATCACTCATTTTAATGGTGCATATTTTCAACAACAAATATCGTTCAGGGAGAAGGGGTCGCTCAACCCACCCTGCAGATGTTTTAAATCTTACTTGCAGCTTCAGAGGGAGCGCACGGCACCAGAGTATGAGTTTTAAAAGACAAGTGCCACCACCTCCTAATGCTCCTCCATTTAATCAGTGATGACCTGACATTTAGAGATGGTATTTAAAAGGAGAAACATATCTGCCATGAGTGAAAATTCCTGAATTGAACTACAAACCATTAATGAAATGACTTCTGTTTTTGAAGTCCTTGTTAGAGCACCCAAGGTTCCACACACTGTTAAAGGGGGTTAGCATAGTTATTTAAGTAGACCAGAAATGAAAATAAATTAGTATAATGAGTTATTGATATTCCACCGGTTTTCACACCATTTCAGGGACTTTATCACTGCATTAGAACAGACCACCCCAAAGCCAGTAGGGCTAAGAGACCAGTCCCAGGGGGAGTTTAGGCTCCAGGGTACAAGGATAGCATAGGGGCGCCCAGGGGAGGCCTAAATGTAACACTAATTCCATGTCCTAAAATACCGATTGATCACGACGGCCTCTTCTAGAGAACATATTACTTTCATACCTTAAATGGTATGAAAGGAGGGAGGGTAAATTTCTCATGAGGAGACAGTTACAAATGCTAGTAGAACAAGACGGCCCACCCCAATACAGATGTTGATGAAAATGATGAGTTAGTTTGAATGATGTTAAACGATATGGATGTTCAGAGATGAGGTTGTTCAATGAATGTCCAGCCGATGTGACTCTTTAAATGATGACATCATCTGAAGAAGTGAGCAAAATAAAATGCTAAAATGGAGTGAATCCATTTCAATTTACTCTATACTATTCCAAGATAGTGTATTTTTATTTTTAATTACTCTATACTATTCCAAGATAGTGTATTTTTTGTTTTATTATTACATTACACTGGTACAAGATAGTTTATTTCATTTTTATTATTTTTCACTGTTCTATATGGTAGATTTCATGTATTTTCGAATCATTACAATTCTAAAATGAATAGTTTATTTTCACTTTGTAAAAACAAGTGCCTTAACACTGAGCGTGGTATAAGAACGGTTTCTGTGAAAGGAGGGAGGAATAAATGTTCTGATACCAAGCCATTGCTGCTATTTTGAAGAGCCATATTGAATGTTAACACTAGAAGTTATGCACAAGGGAAAACTTTTATGTTTGAACACAGTCAAGGTATTTTTGTATTTTTGTAAAGTTGAGGATATTCGCACTATTCCATTTTGATTGTATGTTTTTGATATGAATGATGTACTATGCAGAGTTCAGATGAAGAACTCATTGATTTCAGTATTATACACACCTTTTAGGTGTGTAAGGAGGGACTGTTAGAAATTAAAATCAATGTTTTGATGGCATAAAGTACCTTAAATGTACCTTCAGTTTAAATGCTGTTTTATACTGAAAAACCAGAAAATTATTGTGCACAACCAGTTAAGCTTTTATTCTGAAAATCCGTCATCTCCGGTTAGCATGTGGCTAGTTTACCATTTCTTATAGAGGTTAATTTAATAGCGAAATGACATGGAGTGATGCACACCGAAACCTACTGATTTTAACACTGCAACTATAGAAGTATTATTATTGCTGAATATTAAATGAAGGTATAGTTTATTTGAATAAAGTTATTGTTTACAGACGTGGGTAAGATGTGACAACTTCCGGAATGACCAGAAACCAAACCAGCCGTGAAGTATTTTCTGTATTTTTTAGAATATTAACTACAACGTTTAGAATGTGTTAAAGGAAAAGTGATGAAAGACAATATGAGGAGAAGAGGCGTGTTTAAGTATGTATTGAATGTACAATGCCTGAATCCTCTGTTTAAACGTAACAACGGACATTAAGATGTGGAGGGCCGGCCCGCAGGGAGGAGCCTGCAGAAGCTATATAAGAGCAGCACCTGAGCGGTTCGGCCTCTTTTCTCTGCTAGCGAGGGCCAGAGACAGCTGCTTTTCTGTCGGACAATATCCTGTTTGTGACTGTACCGCGCCTTTTATTAATTAAAGTACCAATTTGAAAACATCTCAGAGACTCCATTTAGTCTCCTTTTTAAGCTTCTCTTTCCTGGACGCGAGAATAACCATCACAGTTAACACAAGCTAAGCATACAACTAATGGCAGCCACCGCAAACTCACCGGTGCCAGCGGAGAAAGCACGTAAACGGAGCCCGGAAGTGGCCTTTCTGCCAAAGAGCAAGAGGGAGCAAGAGCGACACTGACCCCTCTTTAGAAAGGTTGCCCCGTGTTGATAGGGCTGAACAGTTTATCCTGCTACATTGAGATAACGACGAACAAGTACATTTAAATGTGCAAAAACAATCAGTGTTAAATATTAAACTGTACTTTGTTTCCGGGTCCTGATTCAGTTTCTGATGTTTCACTGTCCTCTACTGGGGATCTTAAGTGAGACACATTCAGGCTTCATCACTCAGAGAGCTCTCTCCACTGTCTGCTTTAAAGGGTCACCCAAACTACTAAAGTACTGATGTCCTCTCTTACCTCCTAAACATGCAAATCATTCATAATAAAGTTTGCTGGATGCTATGAGGTTGTTTTTCAAATGTTAAAGTGTTTTAATAAATGTAAACATTGGACATATGTTCACAACTGATCCACCTAAACATCCAAAGTCATTGAACATGTGTTTTTCGTATCATTAAACACTGTGTGTCCAAATCCTACAGTCCACTTGATTATGAGTGTGATGTGTGTGTTCATGTTGGGTTCACACTAACAGGCATGTGAGTTTCTCAGAGTTCTGCATTTCTCTGAAACAGAAGCAACCTGACCGCAGAGAGAGCAGAGCAGAAACAAACCAAGAGAAATTAAATGGCATTTTCCATTCTCTCTGATAATTAATTTGGTTCTCTTCATCCTGTTCAGTCAAACTGCCTCGTGGGTTCAGAGGTTAATGCATTCCTGTTCCTTCACTCCACCTGCAGACTGTGTGACGTCCTCAGTGCTCAGAGAGATCAACTGTTTCACCCTTATCATTTTAAATCCTTTCTAAAGCTTTTTTCAGGAGTCAGTATAGGCAGCTAAACGGGTCTTTACCCAGAGTTTATTTAGTTTAAGAAAAGTGTATTGTTTGTTAAACAACCAAACGTTACTGTGTAGTGGGTGTTACTGGGGTTTGGCTCATCGTGCATATTAATCGTCTAAAGAGGAAGTAAATCTCTTAACAGCCTGATATCCGTCTTCTGCTCATTGACGACAGAAGAAAGGCATCTTTGAACACGTCGTTCCTCCTTCACTGTGAGTAGAAAGAGTTTATTGATGTAATGATTCTGTAAACCTCCTGTGAACATTATTGAATCTGACATGTTTTATAGTCTCACAGAGAAGAGAGGAGCAGCTATGAGTCTAACTGCAGCAGCGAGTGGATTAGTTGTCTTCCTGCTCTCTGTGTCAGGTACTGTACTTCTACACTTACATTCATCACATGAACAGAGGGGATTCTGGGAAATGTGGGACTTGTTAAACCAGGTCACATGTGGGAATAAGTGGGATGGATTTGTGTAAAAGTCAAACCTAGCAGAAACATTTTAAATGTATTTGTGTGTAGAATTGTAGAAACTCAAAGACGTTCCTAGTTTTTTGATGGATATTCTGAAGATCTTGTCGTGCGTTGCCGCTGTCCTTTGCTCCAATCATCTGCATCAAATATCACTTATCACTTTTACAAGCGTTACAATATAGTGTATGCATAACTGTTCCATCCTCTCTCTCTGAAAACATTTTGCTTTTTTTCTTAAGACGACTTCAAGAATCGCCAGCTCTGTTTTTATTAAGTTGAAGTGATTTAGAGAGATATTCTTATTCTAAGTCAAAACATATTGACTGAACTCTTATGGATCTTACCTCTGCACCAAACCCTTCTAGTTCCTTCTCTCCTCTCTGACCTCAGTGTTATATTTCCACGCTCTGAGTTTAAAGCAGTCTTCTTCTTTTTCTTATCTGTATATCAGACAGAAGCTGCTCACGCCTCAGTGTTCTGCATTCATTGTTATTGTTCACACTGACCTCAGCAGCAACCTGACCACAGAGCGAACAGAGAGCGAACTGTTCAGAGAGTCTCTATTCTAATTAATGTGATCGCTAATCATTCACTGTTCATTTATATGAAGGCATTTTCCAATCTTGCTTTGCCCTGACTGTAAAACTGAGCATACACTTTTTTCATACATGTCCTTTTTTTAAAGGACATGAATGAAAATAATTACCAAACAATGTATTGATTAATCCAAATAGATCAATTTATCAAAATGCAACATCTGAGAAAGTCACATTAACATTTAGAGCATTTGTGATGTGAATGACCCGGGTCTCTCTGAATCTCCAGATGCTCCAAAGCTCCCCTCTGTGTCAGTGAGTCCCTCTGCTGAGAGAGAGGAGGGCAGTTCAGTGACTCTGACCTGTAGCAGTGATGCTAACCCAGCAGCTAACTACACCTGGTACAAGGAGGATCAAAATGCACACTTTTCTTATTTCAATGAAACACACACAGACAACACACACACCCACACACAGACATACACACACACACACACACACACACACACCACACACACAGACATACACACACACACAGACATACATACACACACACCACACACACACACACACACACCCACACGCACAGACACACACCACACACACACACACACTCACACAGACACTCAACGCCACAAACACACCACACACACAGAACACACACACACACATGAACACGCACACACACACACACACACACAGACATACATACACGACAGCAGCACACACACACAGACATATACACACACACAGACATACATACACACACACACACACACGCACAGACACACACACACACTCACACAGACACTCACGCACACACACACACACACACACACACACATACACGCACACACACATACATACACACATACACGCACAGACACATATACACAGACACACACACTCACACACAGAGACACACACACATACACAAATAAATACACACCCCACATCCAGACAGACACACACACATACTCACACACATAAACACCCACCCACATACACACACACACAGACACACACACATACACAAATAAATACATACCCCACACACACATACACAAATAAATACACACACATACACGCACAGACACACACACTCACTCACACACATAACCACACACCCACACACAGACATACACACACACGCACAGACACTCACACACATACAAACACACACACAGACACACACACACATACACGCACACACAGACACACACACAAATAAATACATACCCACACACACATATAAATACACACACATACACGCACAGACACACACACTCACACACATAACCACACACAGACATACACACACACGCACACTCACACAGACACACAGACACTCACACACATACAAACACACACACACCCACACACAGACATACACACACACACAGACACACACACGCACACTCACACAGACACTCACACACATACAAACACACACACAGACACACACACACATACACGCACACTCACACAGACACTCACACACATAACCACACACAGACATACACACACACGCACACTCACACAGACATTCACACACATACAAACACACACACACCCACACACAGACATACACACACGCACACTCACACACATACAAACACACACACAGACACGCACACACACAGACACTCACACACACACACACACACACATACATGCACACACACAGACACTCACACACACACAGACACACACACACATACACGCACACACACACACACAGACACTCACACACACACACATTCACACAGACAGACAGACACACACACACACAAACACACCCACACACAGACATACATACACACACACACACACACACACACACACACACAGACATACACACACACACAGACATACATACACACACACACACACACATGCACAGACACACACACACACACACACACTCACACAGACACTCACGCACACACACACACACACACACATACACGCACACACACATACATACACACATACACGCACAGACACATATACACAGACACACACACTCACACACAGAGACACACACACATACACAAATAAATACACACCCACATCCAGACAGACACACACACATACTCACACACATAAACACACACCCACATACACACACACACAGACACACACACATACACAAATAAATACATACCCACACACACATACACAAATAAATACACACACATACACGCACAGACACACACACTCACTCACACACATAACCACACACCCACACACAGACATACACACACGCACAGACACTCACACACATACAAACACACACACAGACACACACACACATACACGCACACACAGACACACACACAAATAAATACATACCCACACACACATATAAATACACACACATACACGCACAGACACACACACTCACACACATAACCACACACAGACATACACACACACGCACACTCACACAGACACACAGACACTCACACACATACAAACACACACACACCCACACACAGACATACACACACACACAGACACTCACACAGACACTCACACACATACAAACACACACACAGACACACACACACATACACGCACACTCACACAGACACTCACACACATAACCACACACAGACATACACACACACGCACACTCACACAGACATTCACACACATACAAACACACACACACCCACACACAGACATACACACACGCACACTCACACACATACAAACACACACACAGACACGCACACACACAGACACTCACACACACACATACATGCACACACACAGACACTCACACACACACAGACACACACACACATACACGCACACACACAGACACTCACACACACACACATTACCACACACAGACATACACACACACGCACACTCACACAGACACACAGACACTCACGCACATATAAACACACACACACACCCACACACAGACATACACACACACACAGACACACACACGCACACTCACACAGACACTCACACACATACAAACACACACACAGACACACACACACATACACGCACACTCACACAGACACTCACACACATAACCACACACAGACATACACACACACGCACACTCACACAGACATTCACACACATACAAACACACACACACCCACACACAGACATACACACACGCACACTCACACACATACAAACACACACACAGACACGCACACACACAGACACTCACACACACACACACACACACATACATGCACACACACAGACACTCACACACACACAGACACACACACACATACACGCACACACACACACACACAGACACTCACACACACACACATTCACACAGACAGACACACACACACACACACACAACACAACCACACACAGACATACATACACACACACACACACACACACACACACACACACACACACAGACATACACACACACACAGACATACATACACACACACACACACACACACGCACAGACACACACACACACACACACACACACTCACACAGACACTCACGCACACACACACACACACACATACACGCACACACACATACATACACACATACACGCACAGACACATATACACAGACACACACACTCACACACAGAGACATACACACATACACAAATAAATACACACCCACATCCAGACAGACACACACACATACTCACACACATAAACACACACCCACATACACACACACACAGACACACACACATACACAAATAAATACATACCCACACACACATACACAAATAAATACACACACATACACGCACAGACACACACACTCACTCACACACATAACCACACACCCACACACAGACATACACACACGCACAGACACTCACACACATACAAACACACACACAGACACACACACACATACACGCACACACAGACACACACACAAATAAATACATACCCACACACACATATAAATACACACACATACACGCACAGACACACACACTCACACACATAACCACACACAGACATACACACACACGCACACTCACACAGACACACAGACACTCACACACATACAAACACACACACACCCACACACAGACATACACACACACACAGACACTCACACAGACACTCACACACATACAAACACACACACAGACACACACACACATACACGCACACTCACACAGACACTCACACACATAACCACACACAGACATACACACACACGCACACTCACACAGACATTCACACACATACAAACACACACACACCCACACACAGACATACACACACGCACACTCACACACATACAAACACACACACAGACACGCACACACACAGACACTCACACACACACATACATGCACACACACAGACACTCACACACACACAGACACACACACACATACACGCACACACACAGACACTCACACACACACACATTACCACACACAGACATACACACACACGCACACTCACACAGACACACAGACACTCACGCACATACAAACACACACACACCCACACACAGACATACACACACACACAGACACACACACGCACACTCACACAGACACTCACACACATACAAACACACACACAGACACACACACACATACACGCACACTCACACAGACACTCACACACATAACCACACACAGACATACACACACACGCACACTCACACAGACATTCACACACATACAAACACACACACACCCACACACAGACATACACACACGCACACTCACACACATACAAACACACACACAGACACGCACACACACAGACACTCACACACACACACACATACATGCACACACACAGACACTCACACACACACAGACACACACACACACGCACACACACAGACACTCACACACACACACATTCACACAGACAGACAGACACACACACACACACACACACACACACAAAGAAAACCTTTTGAATTAATATAGAGTTGTTTTTTCTATTTCTTCTGAATGATAGAAATCCTTGGTGTTTCAATACCCTCGTAGCACAGTGTTGGTTTTTTGCCCTGAGGCAACAAACCAACCCCTGGGGTGTCATCAAATGCCGTTGCCATGGCGACAGATCATTCGCCATCAAGTTAGTTCAGAAGTTTGCAGTTCAAATATTCTGCTGCTTTCCCAAGCCTTTTGACTTTCTTTTCTTCTCTCATCACACATTCAAGCCCCCAGTGTTCACGTATCATTTCAATCTAAATTCTTCACTTCCTTCTTACACATTTCATTTCAATCTAAATTATTCACTTCCTTCTTACACATTACATTTCAGCATAGCAGTTTAGCGTCAGCTTTTCAGCATAAAGCATTCCCACTAGCAATTTCTTCAGGAATTGCATTCTCTAGTTCTTTCTCAACTTCTCTCATGTTGCCATACCTCTGCACCAAACCCTTCTAGTTCCTTCTCTCCTCTCTGACCTCAGTGTTATATTTCCACACCCTGAGTTAAAAGCAGTCTTCTTCTTTTTCTTATCTGTATATCAGACAGAAGCTGCTCACGCCTCAGTGTTCTGCATTCATTGTTATTGTTCACACTGACCTCAGCAGCAACCTGACCACAGAGCGAACAGAGAGGGAACTGTTCAGAGAGTCTCTATTCTAATTAATGTGATCGCTAATCATTCACTGTTCATTTATATGAAGGCATTTTCCAATCTTGTGTCAAACTGAACCCTTTTTGCGTAGACTTCTGTTCTACCTGGTTTGATAAAGAAACAACAAAGTCAAAGAGTATCATTGGTTTTAAAATGCCTAAGAAGGAATTCACGTGTTTTTCTGCTCTATCCAGTAAAGTCTGTAAAATGTTTATTTTCTCATTCTTTGTTGAAAGTACTGTTCAGGCAATTTCTCAACAATTTATAGATTAACTTTGATTCTAGTTTCTGGTGTGCTCTGTGTTTCAGTGGTTCAGGGTCTGGATGGCTGGGGAGTGACTTACTCTTCTACTGAGATCTGTGCAGTGAAAGGATCAACAGTGGAGATAAGCTGCAGCTACACATACCCATCAACATGGGAAGGAAGTGTAAACACAGTTAAGAAAACATTCTGGTTTAAACAGAAAGATGGTGAACCTGTAGATCTGACCACAGTCTCAGAGTACGCAGGTCGTGTAGAGTATCTCTGTGAAAACAACATCTGCACTCTGAGAATCAGAAACCTGAGCGAGAGCGACTCAGCTGAGTACAGGTTCAGGATCGAAACAAACCAAGCAGGAGGAACATATAGTGGTTCACCTGGAGTCACTTTGTCTCTCACAGGTAACACCAATCAGTTCCAAATGTTCAACATTAAGAAAACAATAATATCATTGTGATGTGTTTTTATATACATGAATGTTGAGAGTTTATTCTTAAACAACCTTCCTGTTCCTTCTTCACAAATACAGATCTCTCGGTGCAGGTGGAACGCAAAGATTCTAGCAGAGCAAACCTGAAGTGTCAGAGCAGTTGTGATTTACCTGATGATGATTATGTCTGGTACAAGAACGGAGGAAACACTCTGTCAGGAACTTCTTCTCTTCAAGTCGACTTTAACTATCTGGACAGCTATTCCTGTGCCTTGAAAGGATTTGAGGACTCTCCCTCCCCTTCAGTGTGTGAGTTCACTTCACTACCTTATTCTAACATAGCACCATCTAGTGGAAGCCTTAGCTAACTGTATGGGTTTGTGACTTCTCATCAACTCTGGTAAAAACAATGGTTTAAAAACGAGTTGTCTCATGTTTCAGGTGTCACTGGTCGAGACAGCAACACGGTGACTTATACTGAGGGAAGTATCTGCGCCCCCAGAGGATCATCAGTGGACATTTCCTGCAGGTACAGCAGTAATGACTGTATTACATCTAAGTTCTGGTTCAGTCCTGAGCGTAGTCATCAGGGACAGAATCCCTCTCAACCTGAGGACCTCAGTGAAGACTCCCAGTATGCAGGTCGTGTTCAGATCCTTGAGACAGAGAGAGGACGCTCCACTCTGAGGATCTCTGACCTGAGAGACTCAGATTCAGCTCAGTATCGCTTCACATTCAAAACACCAAGCTTTGAATGGAGGAGTGATTTTCCTGGTACAACTCTGACTGTCACAGGTACTGACCAACACACTGAGGAAAATACACAGTACAATAACAAAATACTGGAAGTTGAGTTTGTGTAATTACTGTTGGATGAGTTATCATATGTGTTCACCTACTTTAGACTGTTGTGTTAATGGGAATGTACATTTATCATCAGTTTAATTTGAGACATTTTATATTATTATTTTTCTCATATGCAGCTCTGCAGGTGCAGGTGATCACAGAGACGTACGGGCAGCCCTATACCTATGCAGAGCTGAAGTGCCACAGCAGCTGCAGTCCAGCTGGTGTTTCCTACGTCTGGTTCAAGAACAACGAGAAAATACGAGACCAGACAAGATCTTCTTACAAAGGCTGGATTCAACTTGCAGACATGATCTCTTGTGCTTTTGAAGGACATGAGAAGTTCCCCTCTCCTGCAGTGTGTGAGTTTACAGAAAGCTGAACTACAGCAGTAAATAAGCCATCTTAGGTGAAGCAACATACAGATACAATAGATTTGAGTAGAAACCTCATTTAGAAAGAAAAAAAGTAAAACAATAACAGAAAATCCTTCAGGCACCAAGAATCATCATAGAAGAAAAATATCATAAATGAGTTTAGTTTTATATTGTTCTTCCTGTTATTTAAGGTTGCAGCAGAAAGATGAGAAAAACTTGATTGATAAATAAAACAAGGTTCTCATACAGAGAGATGTTCAACATTATAATAATCTTCAATAATACATTTTAGTTCATAGTGATTAACATCACAGTCTTCATTCGTTGCTCTGTATCGACTGAAAATCAAGTGTACCTTATTGTGGTGTAAAGTTTCAATGTTGTGCACGTTGTGGACAAAGGTTAAATCCGTCCAACAAGCATTTTGTCAAACTGTGTTCGAAGTCCAAAATGCAGCTACAGTTCATTCAGCGTTCAATAATGTAGATACCCTTTAAGCTAATGCAGTGAGAAACACAATCTTAATATTTACTGTTCACACATCTCCTCCAGATGCTCCGAGGCGCCTTTCTTTGTCAAGACCCTCTGCTGAGATAAGGGAGGGCAGTTCAGTGACTCTGACCTGTAGCAGTGATGCTAACCCAGCAGCTAACTACACCTGGTACAAGGAGAATAGAAATCCGGACCTTCCTCTTCTCAGTGAAGGACCACAGCTTGTCCTCAGCTCCATCCAGTCCTCTGACTCTGGACAGTATTTCTGTTCAGCTACAAATGAGCTGGGGAGGAGCAGATCTGTAAACAGCTTTATTAATGTGAAATGTTAGTAATCATAACTCTTTCTTACATCTACTTGCTTTATATTTACAGTCTTCTGTAAAAGACTGAGCAGCTTCAGGAGATAACAGAGGCTTAGTGTAGTTCAAGGACTTAGATTTAAACCGTTAACCATCCATTGGTCAGACCACCTTCAAAGTATGCAATGCAGTTACACATAGCTTCTCTCATTTTGTGATTTAAAATATTCTGTACAACATGTAATGTTAAAACACTAATTTAAACCTATACAATTATTTGTTTTTGCATCTCCTCCAGATGCTCCAAAGCTCCCCTCTGTGTCAGTGAGTCCCTCTGCTGAGATAGAGGAGGGCAGTTCAGTGACTCTGACCTGTAGCAGTGATGCTAACCCAGCAGCTAACTACACCTGGTACAAGAGGAATAGAAATACACAACTTTCTTATTTCAGTGAAGGACAACAGCTTTCCTTCAGCTCCATCCAGTCCTCTGACTCTGGACGGTATTTCTGTAGAGCTGAGAACAAGCTGGGGAGGAGCACATATACAAACACCTTTATCAACGTGAAATGTGAGTAAGACAGTTTATTTAAAGATAACAAGCTTATATCTGTCTAGTTGTTTCAAGAGAAGATGTTACTTATCATCACTACTTTCTTCAGCTCAGCTTGCTTTACATTACATGGGATCCAGGGAACAAGCGGGTAACGAAAAGTGAACTGGCAGTAACTTCTAATCACATTTTATAGAGTTGCTAATGATGACATCATTGAGAAACAACTGTTAAATATTGTTATATTTAACAGTCGGTATTTAACCAATGACAAATCATTACTTTATTATGACCAATAAGAATTCAGAATTAGCCATGAACAATTATTTACAGTAAATATTAATTCATTTACATAATATCTAACGGTTGTTTCTCTAAAATATATTCCATAGCTACAGTGAAAAAACTGAAACGTTGACTTTAATTAAATGTATCATGTCAACAAATTAAACATAATTGTATTAGGTTGGTTGAAAGCAATAATATACATTTTAAATGAAAAATATTAGGTTCAACTTAATATTATTGCTTTCAACTCACCTAATGCAACATTTATTAATTTATTGACATAATACATTTAATTAAAGTCAATGTTTTAGTGTTTTCAGTGTACTCTACAAAATGTGATTAGTAAATGCTCAACAACTGTCCTTCAAGTTAGGGTTATTTTGGAATGAGTTCCTCATCCAATGCTCTGTAATGACTCGAAATGCAGCTTCATTCAGCGTTCAATAATGTAGATACCTTTTGAGCTAATGCAGTGAGAAACACATTCTTAATATTTACTGTTCACACATCTCCTCCAGATGCTCCGAGGCTTCCTTCTGTGTCAGTGAGTCCCTCTGGTGAGATAGAGGAGGGCAGTTCAGTGACTCTGACCTGTAGCAGTGATGCTAACCCAGCAGCTACATACACCTGGTACAAGAAGAATGGACATGCAGACGTTCCTCTTCTCAGTGAACGACCACAGCTTGTCTTCAGATCCATCCAGTCCTCTGACTCTGGACAGTATTTCTGTAGCGCTGAGAACTCGCTGGGGAGGAGCAGATTTGAAAACACCTTTATCAACGTGAAATGTGAGTAAGACAGTTTATTTAAAGATAACAAGCTTATATCTGTCTAGTTGTTTCAAGAGAAGATGTTACTTATCATCACTACTTTCTTCAGCTCAGCTTGCTTTACATTACATGGGATCCAGGGAACAAGCGGGTAACGAAAAGTGAACTGGCAGTAACTTCTAATCACATTTTATAGAGTTACTAATGATGACATCATTGAGAAACGACTGTTAAATATTGTTATATTGAACTAATATTTACTGTTATTAACTTTACAAGGCTATCTCTAAGTCCTTAAATTCCATGACTCAATTCATAGTTGTTACTTGATTAAGTGATACACTAAACGGCATTTAACCAATGACAAATCATTACTTTATTATGACCAATAACAATTCAGAATTAGCCATGAACAGTTATTTACAGTATATATTCATTAATTAACATAATACAACTTCAATTCTATTCACCTTTTGGACAAAGATTAAATCCGTCCAACAAGCATTTTGTCAAACCGTGTTCGAAGTCCAAAATGCAGCTACAGTTCATTCAGCGTTCAATAATGTAGATACCTTTGAGCTAATGCAGTGAGAAACACAATCTTAATATTTACTGTTCACACATCTCCTCCAGATGCTCCAAAGCTCCCCTCTGTGTCAGTGAGTCCCTCTGCTGAGATAAAGGAGGGCAGTTCAGTGACTCTGACCTGTAGCAGTGATGCTAACCCAGCAGCTAACTACACCTGGTACAAGGAGGATCAAAATGCAGACTTTTCTTCTGTCAATGAAGGACCACGTCTCGTCCTCAGCTCCATCCAGTCCTCTGACTCTGGACAGTATTTCTGTAGAGCTGAGAATCTGCTGGGGAGTACAAGATCTGAATCCATCTCTATTGATGTGAAATGTGAGTAAAACCCAGATGATTTAAAAAGCATAATGCACCCAATGACTACTTTGTTCACAGTCTGCTGCTGTAGATCAATGAGATGGAGAGCAGCTACAGTCGATGATGACAAGGCAGTTTTGTTTACAATTGTCTCCCAAATCTGTACGTATGTCCAGGGTATTCAAACCAGCAATAATACAGAAAACAAAATATATACACAACAACATTTGTTGTTGTAGCTCTATACCTGTCTGCTGGGAAAACACTGAATGTACTCTTCTAATATCAGAGTAGCACATGATAACAAAGGCCCTGCGTAGCTGTGAATGTAACCGGATGTATGATAGAAGAGCGTCAGGACTGTTTTAGGAATATGATGTGACAACGATTACCATGATGGTTCAGCCTCTATGGAGATAGACACAATGACTGTCATGTTTATTGCTTACGTGGGTCTTAGCTAATCTGAACTAAGGCCAGAATACTGCTTTCTATTCCTCCATCCTGTGACTGTAACACTCTCTAGTATATAAGCATGTCAAAGACACTATTCGGGGAACTATCTGTGACATGCAGCTCTGTGTGTGAGGAATACTTCCCTTCTTGCAAGGATAATAAATACATGTATCCTGATATTGAAGAGCAAGCCGGTGACGAGTGATATTTTTCTAACACTCTCAAAATACATTTCCAAATTACAGATGCTCCCCTATTCCTCATTTCTACTCAACATGATGTATTTTTACTCATTTCTGTTGATTTATTGTATTTCCTCCAGATGCTCCAAAGCCTCCCTCTGTGTCAGTGAGACCCTCTGCTGAGATAGAGGAGGGCAGTTCAGTGACTCTGACCTGTAGCAGTGATGCTAACCCAGCAGCTAACTACACCTGGTACAAGGAGGATCAAAATGCACGTCTTTCTTCTGTCAAAGAAGGACCACGTCTCGTCCTCAGCTCCATCCAGTCCTCTGACTCTGGACAGTATTTCTGTAGAGCTGAGAACAAGCTGGGGAGTAAAAGATCTGAATCCATCTCTATTGATGTGAAATGTGAGTAAAACCCAGATGATTTAAAAAGCATAATGCACCCAATGACTACTTTGTTCACAGTCTGCTGCTGTAGGTCAATGAGATGGAGAGCAGCTACAGTCGATGATGACAAGGCAGTTTTGTTTACAATTGGCTCCCAAATCTGTACGTATGTTCAGGGTATTCAAGCCAGCAGTAATACAGAAAACAAAATATATCCACAACAACATTTGTTGTTGTAGCTCTATACCTGTCTGCTGGGAAAACACTGAATGTACTCTTCTAATATCAGAGTAGCACATGATAACAAAGGCCCTGCGTAGCTGTGAATGTAACCGGATGTATGATAGAAGAGCGTCAGGACTGTTTTAGGAATATGATGTGACAACGATTACCATGATGGTTCAGCCTCTATGGAGATAGACACAATGACTGTCATGTTTATTGCTTACGTGGGTCTTAGCTAATCTGAACTAAGGCCAGAATACTGCTTTATATTCCTCCATCCTGTGACTGTAACACTCTCTTGTATATAAGCATGTCAAAGACACTATTCGGGGAACTATCTGTGACATGCAGCTCTGTGTGTGAGGAATACTTCCATTCTTGCAAGGATAATAAATACTTGTATCCTGATATTGAAGAGCAAGCCGGTGACGAGTGATATTTTTCTAACACTCTCAAAATACACTTCCAAATTACAGATGCTCCCCTATTCCTCATTTCTACTCAACATGATGTATTTTTACTCATATTTGTTGATTTATTGTATTCCTTTCAGACTCTCCAAAACTTTCAGTGACTCTGACCTGTAGCAGTGATGCTAACCCAGCAGCTAACTACACCTGGTACAAGGAGGATGAAGACTCTCCAAAAGCTTCAGGACAGATCTTCACCATCACTGACTTCAGAGCTGAACACAGTGGGAGTTATTCCTGTGGAGCCCAGAACAAGTTAGGACGTAGTAACTCCACCTTAACTCTGAGTGTTGTGGCAGGTAAGTTCTCTACATTCACCAGACCTGAAGTGTTCAGTGAGTGTTCAATAAAGTTGTGAGACGTATCACATATTCCTCTTTCTAGGGAGTTCAACAATGATAGTGAATATCATCAGGACGACTCTGGTGGTCTTGATGCTGATCTCTGTGTTTCCCCTGAGTCTGTGGATGAGGTACAACAATATAAATACATGAGTTCCCTGACCATTTACACCTTTTAGTTTTACCTTTATATGTTAAATGTTGTATTTGTTCTTCACAATCCAGGAAGAAGAACACTCGTACACACTCCACCACTGGAGCACATGAACCTGAAGAGATAGAGGTGAGAGAGAGTGGCTTTACTGACAATTCTTCCACTATGTCACTGATATAAATCCCCCCATAAATGCTTTGAAAGTCAAACAAGTTTTAAGTGGAATTGAAATGGCATCAACTTTTCTACTTTCAAATATAATACATTTTTCTTAAAAACTTACAAAAATATACAGTTTCATGATTAGGAGCCTCACTTTGTCTTCTCTCTCTTCATCAGTTGGACTCTGATCCTGAGTATGAGAACGACTCACACACTGCAGCACAGACAGAAGACACAGAGGAGCAGGAAGACATGGTGTGAAGTCCAGTCAGGTTAGAGCCTCCTGCATCAGATCAAACAGGCCCACTCCACATTTAGAGTCACAGTTCCAGCTGTAACGTTACACAAAGTCTCTGTGATTTTCTTCAGACGCTCACCTGATGGAAACAAAGAAGAAGGACGTTGAAATGTCCCTGTGGAGAGCGAGGTGTGCAGGATGTGTGCAAAGTGGATATATTCAGCTTCAACTCTTAAAGCTTTTATTGTCAGTTGTCAGTAGCAGCAGCTTGTAGGTTTAGAGAATGAGCTGCTGGCAGCTTGAAGTGAATCATGTCGAGGTGTCAAACATGATTTATCGTTAAGACCAGCTGATGGTCAGGTGCTCTATATTACTGCTTCAGCTATGTGTACATGCTTATTTGTTATATGCAGAGTTGTTGATATTACACAAATCTAGTCAAATTGTGTTTTTATTCCACATAATAAATAACTTTTAAAAATCCTCATCAGTGTTTTGGTTAATAACTGTCCTGCTGACAATTAAGTCTATTTAAAACAGAGAGCCTGAAAACATCACATTTCTCTCCATGTACAGTTTAGATTTTTACAAAATGAAACATAAGCTCACTAGAAGAAGACTTTGTTAGATGTTACTGTGTAAGATTCAAATCAGAATAAATCAACAGCCAGCTCTTCAACAAGTGAAGGACCATCGGACGAGTGTTTGGAAAAGATACATTTTAAAAGTCTTTAAATCTCGGATTTTCTGTTTCACTTTTCTTTAATCTGCGGTATATAATGTTTAATTATTAGCTAGCAATACAAAACAAATCAAATATGTGCTGCTTTTGTATATCTCCCATATGTCATTATTTTCTTCTTTTTTTATTACTGCCGCATTTTATTCCATATTTTCTTCCATTCTATTTCTATGTAAATACTGCAATATTTTACTATGTTTTTAATTATTTATAATATTTGTTCATGTTATTTTTTTTGTATGCACCATGACACCAAGTCAAATGCCTCGTACGCGTAAACCTACCTGGCAATAAACCGGATTCTGATTATTCAAAAGAGTTTGATGCTGATGCAATATGTCAATGGTGTTGGCCACCAGTGTGAACTTGTTGTCTAATATGCTGTCTATGATGACTAATGTTATTTGGGGTTAATGTCAGGTAAACTGCTAACATTTAGTTAGCTTTACTCATACAATTTAAAATATCTATCAGTGTCTGATGTTAGAAAGATGAGGTCTCAGGGTCCTGATTCAGTTTCTGATGTTTCACTGTCCTCTAGTGGGGGATCTTAAGTGAGACACATTCAGGCTTCATCACTCAGAGAGCTCCCTCCACCGTCTGCTTTAAAGGGTCAGGAAACCTAAACTACAAACACATGTATTTCCTCTCTTACCTCCAGGGGTATCTAAACATGCAGATAGTAAGTGATGAATTTAGCTGCATGCTGTGAGGTCAGTTTTATTTGTATTTGAAAGTGTCTGTCAAACTTAAGACATCTCTGCACACTGCTTTTCTAACTGATCCACCTAAACAAGCCAAAGTCATTTAAACTATTGTTTTCTAATCAACATCATCTCAAACATTGTCTGTCCTGCAGTCCAGGTGTGAGTGGTTCCTGTTGGCAGGCGTGTACGTTTCCCACGTCTCGAAGTTCTGCATTTCTCTGCAAGCAAATGCAACCTGACCACAGAGATAAGAAACACCAAGCACAAAGATATGTAATGTTCCAGTCTCTCTGATAATTAATTTGGTTCTCTTCATCCTGTTCAGTCAAACTGCCTCGTGGGTTCACAGGTCAATGCGTTCCTGTTCCTTCACTCCACCTGCAGACTGTGTGACGTCCTCAGCGCTCATAGAGATCAACTGTTATTCTCCTCTTCATTTAAATGCTCTTTTCTGGTGTCAGTGGAATATTGGCAGTGAAACAAATGTTCAACCGAAGTCTCTTTTAACGTGTATACTTTTTGAAAACAACCAAACTTTACTGTGTAGTGGGTGTTACTGGGGTTTGGCTCATCATGCATAATAATCGTCTAAAGAGGAAGTAAATCTCTTAACAGCCTGATATCTGTCTTCTGCTCATTGCTACAGAGGAAAGGCATCTTTGAACACGTCGTTCCTCCTTCACTGTGAGTAGAAACAGTTTATTGATGTAATGATTCTGTAAACCTCCTGTGAACATTATTGAATCTGACATGTTTTATAGTCTCACAGAGATGAGAGGAGCAGCTATGAGTCTAACTGCAGCAGCGAGTGGATTAGTTGTCTTCCTGCTCTCTGTGTCAGGTACTGTACATCTACACTTACATTCATCACATGAACAGAGGGGATTCTGGGAAATGTGGGACTTGTAAAAGCAGGTAATTTGTAGAAATAAGTGGATCAGGGTTGGATGAAATGCAAACTTTCCAGAAATATTCAAAATATATGTTTTGTGTAGCTTTGTTGAAACACTTAGATGTTACCAAGTTTTAGTAGTTTTTCAGTGTTACTTGTAATGGATATTTGTACAAATATCTTTCCTGTGTTGGTCAACGTCATTTTCACACAAAAGTAAGTGTGTGCTTATTACTCTGACACGCTTCAAACTGAGAATTTTGTTCATTCATAACTGTTCCCTCCTCACCATGTTACAACATTTTGCTATGTTGTATTTTTAAGATGTGCCTTGTTAAAAAAATGTTTATCGTTTTCATAAAAATGTTAGTGTTTTCGAGGGATATTTTCTCACTAGTCATTTCATACGGTCTCAACTTCTCTCATGTCGCCATACCTCTGCACCAAACCCTTCCAGTTCCTTCTCTCCTCTCTGACCTCAGTGTTATATTTCCACACACTGAGTTAAAAGCAGTCTTCTTCTTTTTCTTATCTGTATATCAGACAGAAGCTGCTCACACCTCAGTGCTCTGCATTGATTGTTATTGTTCACACTGACCTCAGCAGCAACCTGACCACAGAGCGAACAGAGAGGGAACTGTTCAGAGAGTCTCACACTATTCTAATTTTTCCAATCTTTGACAGCACTGACGTTTAAAAACTGAGCTAACAGTTGGTTTTTGACCTGGTATAATTTGGATATAATGCTAAAATAAGTCATAAAGTAAAATTGCATCAGGTATGAAGTGCCTAAGAAGGAGTTGAAATGTGAATTGAATGTGCTCTTCTGCTCTTTCCCAGAAAAGTGTGTAAAATGTAACTTCATAATTATTTGTTGACTCATAAACGTCTCCTTTTAAGCTACTTTATTATAAAGACCAACTTGGAAACCCATAAAAGAAGGATATCTTAACAATCATAAATATGATAAACACCTAATAAAAATCTATATTCAGTCCTCGTTAGATACCGTAGATGCATGATTATAATCTTTTTCTGATGATTGGGGATCTGGACGCTTGCCCAGCTTAGATTTCCTGATATGATATTGGTATTATGATACAAATATTCTTAGTAACTAATTGTTAAGTTAAGTCGTTCACTTTGATTATAGTTTCTGATGTGCTCTGTGTTTCAGTGGTTCAGGGTCAGGATGGCTGGGGAGCGAATTACACTTCTACTGAGGTCTGTGCAGTGAAAGGATCAACAGTGGAGATAAGATGCAGCTTCACATACCCATCTACATGGAAAGGCAGTCAAAATAAAGTAAACAACATATTCTGGTTAATTGAGAAAAATGATGGTGAAACTATAGATCTGTTAACAGACTCAGAGTATGCAGGTTGTGTAGAGGATCTCTGTGGAAACAACATCTGCACTCTGAGAATCAGAAACCTGAGAGAGAGCGACTCAGCTGAGTACAGGTTCAGGTTTGAAACAAACCAAGATCAATATGCTGCTGCACCTGGAGTCACTTTGTCTGTCACAGGTAATATTTTCATTCATGTCTATGTCTAATCGTTCAAAATCTAGAAAACAATAAAATAAATGTTTATGAATGCATTTGTGTTGACAGTTCATATCTGATACCTGTTCTTTCTTCTCAAATCCAGATCTCTCGGTGCAGGTTGAACCCACATATACTAACCGGGCAGAGCTGAAGTGTCAGAGCAGTTGTCGAGTACCCTCTGATCATTATGTCAGGTCCAAGAACGGAGAGAAATCTACGACTTCAATATATTCTACTAATTTATTCACATTTGGCTCTACAGACAGCTATTCCTGTGCTCTGAAAGGACATGAAGACTCCTCCTGCAGTGTGTGAGTTTACCTACACACACACTGACATTACAATACAATTCAATTTCAGAGATAACCTCACTGCAGTGTTCTTAATCTTCATATGGAGACAGCAGTAGTGCAAAAACTAAAACGTAGCTGTAACCTGTACATCATAGTAATAAAAGCAACACACAGTAAACAATAAAAGGAAAATCCTAAACGCACCAAGAACATCTAAAAAAGAAATGTAAGAATAAATTAAGCAAATAAATTCTTAGCAATTAAAAAAACGAAATCAAAAACAACAGGAAGTGATTTTGGTTGATATTAAATATTTAAACAAAAATATTTATGCTAATAAAAATATAAAATACCAACAGAAAATAAGCCATCTTAAGAAAATTAATAAGATGACTTGGAGATACTTTTTTCTCGAGACCTCAATTGGAATAAAGCAACGTTTATGAAACAAGTAAAAATAAAATATCAGAAATAAGGAATCCACAAAGAAACAACGAAACATCAATGAATGAAATACAAGTGGAAGTGAATTAGTAAAAACAGGTAAACTTCATAATGTAAATGTCCCTAAGGAAACAAATGAGGTCACCTTTAGATTGTTCTGCACGTTATTCACAGTTGCAGATGAAAGATGAAGACATTTGGATTGTGCATGCCGGCACCTGCAACAACATCAGCATAAAGAGAATAATCAGTCGTTAAAAACTAAAAACTAAAATGTTAAAGACTTTTTATTGGCTCTCTGTTTCAAACATGAGTTAAAATGATTTGACAGCTCCAGCTCTACATTACAATAATACATGAAAAAGTAAAATCTAAAATAAATCATGTGCTTTTAAACATTCTTATATTTAAATTAGGGCTGTCAGTCGATTCAAATAGTTAATCGCGATTAATCGCAAATTAATCGCACATTTTTGATCTGTTCTAAATGTACCTTAGAGGAATATTTTTCAAGTTTTTAATACTCTTATCAACATATGAGTGGACAAATATGCTTTATGCTAATGTTTATTATCATTTCAACAATGACAAATATTCTCATGAATATTAAACACAACAACCTGGAACCTCTCTCATTCAATAATACAATACAAAGTGTGTGTGTGTGTGTGTGTGTGTGTGTGTGTGTGTGTGTGTGTGTGTGTGTGTGTGTGTGTGTGTGTGTGTGTGTGGTGGTGTGTGTGTGTGTGTGTGGGTGGGTGTGTGTGTGTGTGTGTGATGGATCGTTGGAGCTATGTGCAACTCAAGGCATATGCTCGAACCGGAGCTGCCTGGACGCTGCAATCATGTTGCGCACTATCCGTGCTGAGTGTGCTGACTTTTGGTACAATGTCCCACTGTCTGGCTTCCTGCATAAAGTCAAGTGCTCGGCGCAGTTGTGGCGAAATGTCGCTCCTCTGTTTTCATTTAAACAGCTCCATATCCGTTAGCGCAGCTAGCTAGCACCAGATGCTAACAACAACAATGCACGTAAGGTCTCTCTCTCGCTCGCTCGGGCCACACATACACACACCCTCCCGGTCCTCCAGATGGCCAGTCGGTGCCTGCCGGTGAGCGTGGAAGTGTGGTCTGCCACAAGCGGGCGACAGGAGCGGGGCTGTCAGCATCAGCTTGTAGATGGTATTTTAAACTCGATGCGCTCTGAAACTACGGGGCGGCCGAGGACAAAAAATACACATGCGTTAATCGCGTTAAACTAATTAGTGGCGTTCATTTTTTTTTGTTGCGTTAACGCGTTAATAACGCGTTAACTTGACAGCCCTAATTTAAATATTAATGTTAATTTGTCCTGATGACGCTCCAAAGCTCCCCTCTGTGTCAGTGATTCCCTCTGCTGAGATAGAGGAGGGCCGTTCAGTGACTCTGACCTGTAGCAGTGATGCTAACCCAGCAGCTAACTACACCTGCAGTGGCGACTGGTCATTAGGGGCAGGTGGGGCACAGCCCCACCTAGTGTCAGTAGAAAGTATTAAAAAAAATTAAAATATATATAAAATATATTTTAAGATCATGTTTAATCATCTGATTCGTCTCATTGCTGTTTTAGTCAGTGTTCTTCTAATTAGTGTCTACAGTGTGTGCCTATTGAGCTGTTTAGAGCCGTGTGGGACAAAACCCGATCCTGCCCCTCCCTCTCCCTGTTTAAGTCAATGGTGACTGTAAAAACTACACTGCGCATGCTCAGAATATTTTCCTATTTAATGTGTGTGGCAAAAAAATAATGACCATAGGGGCAGAGAGCTGCCATCCCCACCATACGTCATCTCACATCATTCAGAGCTGATTGGCTGTAAGTACGTGTGCCGCGAAAAGTGTGGTGTGTGAAGAGGAGACGAGAGAGCTGCAGTGACGCGTCCTAAAACCAGGTAGTAAGCTGCGCATGGCTTCCCTCGACAAAAAAGCAATGATATTTCTCCATAGGATTTTAGAAAATAGCTCCAAATAAGATCTGTGGGAAACAAACCTGTTAGATAAATGCACGTTTTGTTCAGCCGGATAATATCCACATGTCTACCATACTTTTATAATTTTTGAATCATAAATATATCGATTAGATCAGATTTATGATAGACTTTTGAAACTACAAGAACATAAGGAGGACTTTTACAAAAAAGTAATAGAGATGTTTGTCCAGAAGGATAGGCCAATGGACTTCATCTTCAAGTCAAGGTAAGACCGCAATTTTATTGAAAATGGGATCTTACTAAGAGAGAACAATTCAATATTTAAATGATAAAATTACATCTTTTGGGTATCCTTTTGTTGAACTGTCTGTTTAAAATTAATTGAAGCATCAGACAAAAAAAGATTTTGAAAATAATATTATATTTTGATTTAGGTCAAAATATAATATTTGTAAACCTGAAGAGTCAGTGCCAGTGCCTCACCAGCCATGAACCTCACTGCAGAAGCTTATATATAGACATCTACGTTTTTTGTGCCCCACCACTTTTGTACATATAAAAACGCCACTGTACACCTGGTACAAGGAGGATGAAGACTCTCCAAAAGCTTCAGGACAGATCTTCACCATCACTGACTTCAGAGCTGAACACAGTGGGAGTTATTCCTGTGGAGCCCAGAACAAGTTAGGACGTAGTAACTCCACCTTAACTCTGATTGTTGTGGGAGGTACGTTGTATGGCTTCATCTTAAACTGCAAACCTATCAGCTTGTTTTGTTTTTCAGTCACATATACATTGTTGATGTGGGAAAGGGTGTAGTGTAGTTTTCTTTCTGTTACATACAAAATGGCTCATATATTTTAATTATAAAATAAGATTAACTTTATTAATTCCAATTTGGAGAAACAACGTGTTGAAGCAGCATAACATAATAACAGATACAAAGAGTAGAAATAAAAAATTCTAAAATATAGAAATAGAAATAAACCAGCATCTCTTATCTCTTGTGTTTCGACCAAGCGGCAAACTGTGGGGTAGAGCCGGGAAGCCAATACGGAAGTGCCACACACTGCAGTTCATATATTGGCCGATAGGCGATGGCTGCAGAAAGGAGCAATTTCCATAGACCCCCATGTTAAAATGCCCGATTTTACAGCAGAAAAAAACATGTTTCTACCCCTGGCTCCATACATTTTATTATCGATATAGTTAGATTCCACCTTCATGATTATGGATCTGTGAGTGAATTGTTTTCTAACGCGACCCTTTATATTTATATTAGGTCTTAAAGTTTGTGCATACATTAGGGCGTTGTCACTTTGATTGACAGATACGTGCCTCACTGTCAGCTAACAGCAACTTGTCCAATCTGCTAGGCTACAACCATAGAGGCTACAACGTTAGTTAGTTGTAGTTACTGTACTTGATCCTTTAGCTGTGTTCGTGGTGATCGTGCCTGTTAGGGAATATTGTTACAAATACCAGATAATTAAAATGTCGTGCTGTGCGCTTGAATGTACTAACAGATCTTCCAAGAAGTCTATTTTCAGCTTTTTTCGATGAGTAAAATGATAATATTATACATGTTAACCCCGTTAGCAGGTGTTTGTGTGCTTGTTAGCTTAGCCTGTTATGTAGCTTATTAGCCAGCTAAGGACGTAACCCTTTATACATATATACAGTTTAGTTTATGATTCAGCCTTGGGTAAGACTTTTATACTATATGGCTATGACGCCCATAATGCTAAACGGGAGCAAATGTTAAAAGGGGTGGGCCGCCGGAGTCCACGCCGCCGAAGCTAACGGGGCTGCAGGGTGCTAGCTCGCTAGCGCGTCCCGGCGGCCGTAGCTAGCACCCTGGGGCTCCGTTAGCTTCGGCCAGCGGCGGAGTCCGGCGTTATAACTGGAGATCAAGGAATGCATCGTAACGCGGACTTGGTTCGCCTGCAGCCCGCTGTAGTATTAGCTAAATAAATGATGTTGAGCAAGGCTTATTAAGCTGAACACCGCCACAATTATTCTGCTATGTATCGGTACTTATTTTATTTTATTAACGTGTGAATGACAAGCATTAAGAATAATACCAAATAGCTAATTATCTTGCAGATTGTCTCGTTTGATTATGAATGTAACGTTTATATAGTGGAACTACACTGTTTTATCAAAACCAAAGTGCCACGCAGTGACTTGGTATGCATGTATTTCAGCAGGAAATATGCAACCTAGATGACATTTACCAACACAGACTATATAGAAATATTTGTAAAAGTTGTTCATGCGTTACTAAGTGAATATGGCATTAACCCTCCTGTTGTCTTCGGGTCAAATCTGACCGATTTACTACTTTCATCAATCATGTTTTACATTCGATTGATACTGAGAGCATGTTAGCTTAGCTTCTTAGCCTGAACTAGGACTCGAACGTCACGCTCGTTGGCAGCAGGTCCCGCCCTGTCCCGCCTCAGCTCCGCCTCAGCTCCGCCTCAGCTCCGCCTCAGCTCCGCCTCAGCTCCGCCTCAGCTCCGCCTCTTTGTCCTTATTTGGAGAAGGCGGGAGAAGGCGGGAGTTAGACTCTGACGACACCGTCGAGCCGTTAGTGGCCGACTCCGCCTACTAAGGGCTTCACGGCAATTCTGCAGAATCCTATGGGTGACGTCACGGACCCTACGTCCATTTATATATACAGTCTATGGTTTCGACAAATGTTTGGGTTACTGCTGCAGTTTGTTGCAGAGTCTTTCCCTGAATACTTGGGTTTGTTTTGTTAAGTTAATAAGTCAAGCACACCCAATGTTGATAAAGCGTTCTTCTTGCCTACATACTGTAAGAACAGAAAAGTAAGGTAAATCCAAGGTCTGTGCAGTGCCCATTTATTGGGACATTAGATGCCAATTTCACTGTTTGCAGACGGTACCGTCCTTTTCAATAGCCCTTGACCATTAAGGTCCTTATATACCAAGCCGATTTTCGGCGTCGATAGATGTCGGGCCGTTGATGAGCGTCGTGTCGCCCTACTCAGATTGGTCTGTACTGCACCGTTGTGTCTTTTCGGCCGTACCGACACATTCCGCCGCTGATTCGACATGTTGAATCGGGAGGAAATCACTCTGATTGGCTGTTCAGCTTAGCGAATCAGTGCATGAGAAGCGAAACGGAAGTGAGGGAACCAAATAACTATTAAGAAGGCAAATCTGAGATTTCATTTAACTCCAGCTCTCGACACAGGTTCGGGAAAGCCCCGTGAGCTTCTCGCTGCAGTGAAAATGGAACGCACACGCTATTTGTTGTTTGTTTATATCACGCAGTCTGTTCTTCTTCTCTCGGTTGAATGACGAATACACACTACCGATGCCTGCTGGTAAGGAGAGTTATTGCCACTCACGCATGCGCAGTTCGTACGTGCAACTTGGCCGTCGGCTGAAGTCTTTGCGGTGTGTTCAAGTGCGAAACATGGCCAAGACGCAGGAGACGTCGGGAGGGGTTCTTTGGTGTTCTGTAGTGTGCCTAAAACTGATAAGACCTAGTAATGCAGGTTTTTGTATTAAAAATTAAGTTGATGATTAAGGGCACATTAAGGACTTTCTGAGCACAACTGAGCAGGAGAACGTTTTGAGACAAACCCTAGACTTACTGGGCTGGTTAGCTGTCCAGCTGCTCTGGGAGCACCAGGAGATTCAAAGGGAAGGAAAAACAGTATTCAGGAGTAAAAAGTATCCCCATTAGAGAAACACTGCTGTATTAACTGTCTGTTGATCTCTGTTTCTCAGGATCACGGTGGCTACTACCTTTTGTAACAATCCCTGTTGTTCTCCTGGCTGTCATATCTCTCTCTGTCTTCCTGTGGATCAGGTGAGCAGATCTGATCAACTTAATCATTGTTTGTTAAATCATTGAAAACGTGTTTGTTAGAACTTTATCACTTTTTGTAACCAGAAAAAAGAGGGCTTCCAGGGACTCTGCTGAACCTGAAGAAAGACCAGATCACACAGAAGAGGTGAGAATATTTGTATAACAGGTACTGTTTATCTAGTCCTAAAAAATCTGTTCTATTGAGACTGTCTTGAAACGTCCTTAATCTTTTCTGTCATACAGCATGATGTTGATGAAGCAGAGATAATTCTTCCATCATACCACATTTGAGTTTTCTGTCCTGGCTGCAATCCTTTGAACAACTATAAACCAAATAACATTAAAATGTACAGCTGATTCCAATATCAGACAACAATATGTCCAAATGAGCAATCACAGGTCAGGGTGCTCTGATGTTTCACGAGTTATCCTCCAGGTGTCAGTATTGGGTCCACTCTTGTTCATCTTCTACCGCCTTCACCATGATGTCCACTTTCACTGCTATGCAGATGATACACAGGTCTACATGTCCACCAAACCCAACTACCCTGCTGCCAGGAGCCGGATGAACAGGAACTAAATGAATACCGTCCTCATTGGCTCTAAAACCAACCTCTCCATGCCACCAACCTTTACTCCCCCTAACCTAATCATTGATTGCTTCTCTTTACCTTTCTCCAGTCAAGTCAAAAGCCTTGGTGTCACCTTAGAACCACCCTCTCTTATGCACCTAACATAAGAAACATCACCCAAACTTAATTCTTCCACCTACGCAAAATGTCCAGACTCCCTCCATCTCTGTCTAGATTAAGTCTTAATCCATGTATTTGTCACATCCTGTATGGACTATTGCAAGGGTTTCCTCTCCGGTCTGTCCACCAATCTCTTCCACAAGCTCCAAATCCAGTGGCGGATTTAGGATTGTAGGAGATCCGGGGCTTAGCCCAGGATTTGTTGGGGGGGGGGGGGTGCAGGGGTAAAGTGCTATTTTTTTACAAGTGGGGGGTGGACCGAACATCCTTTAGGGGGGTCGTCGCCTCCTCTAGGGAGGTCCGGGGGCATTATTTTTAAATATTGAAGCTAAAAGCATCAATCTGGTGCACTTTGAGAGCAACATTAACCCTACCTTAATAATACCTTAAAGCGGACAAAAGGCACTGGAGAACACTTATTCATTAACACCCTTTAATGAAGCAAACAATGCCTTAACTCACTCAAATACAGTCGTTTACTTATTTCGGTGAGACGAATGTGCGTAGTTTTAAAGGATGCGGATAGTCTCACCTTGTTTCTGGCGCATTGCTTGTCGTTTTAGAGATCTATTCTCATCCACCATCTTAGTTTGTGACGTAGAGAGTGTAAGAGTCACGTTTCTGACTGTTGCCTGTCAGGTCCGTTGCCTGTCAGTTCCGTTGCTATGGTTCCGTTGTTATGTGTACTGAAACGAGAGCCGGTATAATTCCACGTACGAAAACTAAATAAAAATTGGAATACTGTAGTGCCGAGAGATAGGAGTCGGAGGCGGTGCATCGAAGGTGCAAAGTTGACTTTATTCAGGAGTAGCAAAGGACATGTTGTCGGGTCGCAGCCCGAGAAGACAAAAGAAAGCTAAAGGAAGGAGGACACAGTGGGTGTTTCTCAATCGCGAGGATGCTGGCTTGGTAGTCGCGTACTTCCAAGTCACTTCCTTCAGAAACGAAGCAAGTATGCTTCCAAGCCACAGCTTCGGAAACGAAGAAGAATGGAACAGGCTAACAAGTGTGCCACTCTTTCTAACGGTTTCAACATAAACTGTACCGAAAATAAATACCTCACGATGTCTATCTAATTATGAACTTGCTTTACTTTCACGGAACACATTTTTGGTGATAACAAATGTAACGAAGTAATATATTTACCAACACATGTTCTACGCCACTACATACTTACATTTAAATGTGTGCTGCGTCGTTTCAGCCATTCTCCGCGAGGGTTTTTGAAATTGAGGTACAGTAAGCAATAGTGTCCGTGCGGAACAATACCCCCAGCCTGTAGTTCCTAGATTGAATTATGTAACCCAATGTATTAATAAGTGATCACTACAATACGTTATTTTAGTGTCTTAAAAGTAGACTGAGGTATGAAGGGTTAACGTTACATCTTAGAATAATTTGTAGTTATGTTCTGTATACATACTAACATATAAGGGTATACTTAGTGTGGTTACTCCATGTTTACTAGCTATAATATTAACGTTACATCACTCTTTTTCACTTCTTACTCAGTCAGCCAGAGTATATCACCACATTACAAACCTGAAACATCATCCATTTCTTCACTGCTGGTGATGACATTGTTGTCAGCTGCTGATACTACTGCTGCAGCTTGTGGTGTCTGCTTCGATGAAAATAACTTTCTAATATCCATAACTTTATAGGCTATTAGCTTAACCTGTTAAAAAGCCAGAGAGACCCATATTGTATATTGGTTCCGGGGACCTCCTGCAATATCTTGCAGAAAACAGTGTCTGAGGGCATGTTCATTTAATAAACTATGAATGTTTTATATCCATGTAACGGAAAGAAACTCATCTAACTGATCATTTTAATTTGTTTTCCAAAAAAAAAAACACAATGCTAACGCTGAGCCTCTGAATTAGCAACGAGCGAAAAATGCTAACAGATGACTGCACCGAAGTTCACTCACAAAACCTTATTATTTATCTTTGCTGCACATCTCAACCCATCGTTTCACATCGTGAGGGCACACAGAATTGATGGTTATCCTCATTATCACTCAATCATACGAACTCTCGGAGATAATAACAAAATAGGCAAAATGGCTCAGCTGTGTGGTAGTCTGGTCAAAAGTGGTCTTCAATGGCATTAAAACGATAAAAACTATGCTGAAGTTAATCCATAGGTTAATCCAATGTGTCTGTGTCACTTTGAATGATTTCTGATAATCCATGAGCAATAAATCAGCTTTTCGGTTTTGAGATGTCAGACCTAGAGACAGCTTCACTGTGGAGCAAAACTGCCTGTACGAAGACGCCATTTTTCATTTTTAACATGAGTGTGTGCGGGACGATTCCCCTTCGATTCTATTGGCTCTAACGGTCAGAAAGAGATGTCACATGTCAAAATCGAAGAAGGGGGGCCAGAGATAAGGAAAATCCACCCAAATGGCCCCAGAAGAGGTTTGTTTTGCTAAATCTGTCTAAAAAGGTCAAATATCACTTGTTTTGCATCAATATTGATACAGGGTACTTATTATATGTTGTACTTTGGATTCCTAAAGCTTTTAGTCTACTAACCCATTATCCAAGGTTAGTTTTCACTATAAGTAAAACATATATTTTGGACGAACACTATAATTTACAGTTTTTTACCATGTTCAATCTGAATTTTCTTTCAAATAAAAAACATCTATATTGATTATGACTTTTCTACATCCAACTCACAGGTTTGTCATTACTTTGAGAACACAGATTATTAATGTAACCCTTTTAGAAGGGAAGATATGGTAATTTGTTCTGGGAATGTCATTTTCGAGCCTGAGACCTGAAAAACAGGCTCAGGGCTTAACAGGTTAAAACTCGTCAGGCACTAGGAAGGATTACTTCTTCTTCAGGTGAGGGAATGCTCCGGTTTTGGGATATAATTAACATGGGATCACTCCAGTCATTGTACGTACTTCGTCTCACTGGAATATTAACGGTCAGATTGAATACAACATCGAGCCAATTTCTCCGGTCAATGACGGGAGAGTTTTGAAAGTGACAAAACACTGTTTCACAGATTTAAAAACAATTAAACAATTAAACAATGTTTACCCAGGATTCAGGCACCTTCCCTGGCTTTTAAAATGTGGTGATGCGCCCTGGAGGTATCAGACTATTTAAAACATGTATACCCAGGATTCAATCAGTTTTCCTGGCTTGTAAAGTGCTGTGAAGCAGCCTGTTCTCTGGGTGCAGTCTGGGTGCAAGAGCCATGCGCTGCAAGGAGATCTCTGGGTGCGCTCTGTGGCTCTCACAGCCCGCTTCTCTCTGGCTGCTCTCTCCCTCTATTCACAGCACTTTCCCCCGCCTTTCAGAGACTCATTGCTGGGTAGAAAAGCCTTGTGCATCACCCTGGATCTCTGCCTATGTGCCTGTGAGTGTGAGACCCTGCTAACAGCAGTGACTCTGCTGTACTTATCTTCTTGTACATTTCATGAGTCAAATGTGGATGAAATGGACAGTTTCCTGTCCATTTCATGAGTCAAATGTGGACGAAATGGACAGTTTCCTGTCCATATGACCGGCTGTTTATGCAGTCAAATGCGCATTTGAATTAAAACAGTTTAATGCACTTTTAACACTCATGCACCCACGATTCAAGCTGCTCTCTGGGTGGGAGAGCGATGTGCTGCAAGGAGATCTCTGGGTGCGCTCTGTGGCTCTCACAGCACGCTTCTCTCTGGCTGCTCTCTCCCTGTATTCACAGCACTTTCCCCCAGCTTTCAGAGACTCATTGCTGGGTATAAAAGCCTTGTGCATCACCCTGGATCTCTGCATAGGTGCCTGTGAGTGTGAGACCCTGCTAACAGCAGTGAACCTGCTGCCAGCATTACAAACATATTAATCAGGCGTTTTAACACTTTTTTCCATGAAAATTATTTGTATTCACTATCATGGGGCTATATAAATCAAATTCCGGATAATTCGGAGCACAATTGTACCTTTACTATTTAAATGTATTTGTATTATATATTTTTGGGCTATAAAAGTGACATTTCTGGGTGACTTTGTCAGTTTATGGAGCTTAGCCCACAATACCCGGAGGTTCCAGGCCGAATTTGGGATCTCATTGGCGGCCTGCCATGCGCCCCCACCCGTGGAAAGCAGAAAAAAGTAAAGAAAACGGTCAATTATATCTTAAAATAATCAAAAATGAAGTTAAAAAAAATTCTCGAAAAAAAACGACAGTGCCAACTCAAAAAAGCTCAACCCTTCGGGGCTTCGGGCTGAAGCCCCGGACACTTTTGCACTCCCTCGTTGCAACTTATAACGGAGAGGGGAATCGAGACCTCCCCTCCTCCCTCAAAAAAATGTATTCATGTTTTTCAAGCTACCATCTGCACGAAATCGGAAACCC